TAAAATGCCTTTGGCCGGCAGATCACGTATTTTTTCATTCACGTCAGGTAATGGGTTTAATGGGGAACACGGAATGTTTACTTTTCAAAATTTTTAAAATGTCTCAAAGCGAACTGAATACTCGCCTGTAATACAAGCAGAGACACGGAAAGTCCAAGAAGCAAAAACCGGTCGAGAGTACTGACCGTGATCATTCAAAAAAGAAATTGTCTTGTTTTAGGATGAAAACTATGGGCTTTAGATAAAAGAATTTAGAAAAAAACCTTCCCAAAAATAACGAGGGAAACGACGTTAATAAGAATGCGAAGATCTTCCAAAGTACAGAGCGCGAAATAAATCAGGAATCATTCGCTGACACACGAATGAGAAACGTCCGAGGTCGTTCGCGGTCACGGCCTTCGCTTCTCTCGGACGTCTAAGAATCGGTCTACACAGACTCCAGTCAACTTCTGAAAAACAGTACATGTGGGACAATGAATCAAATACAACCCTGTTGCTGGTTTCAAGTACATTTTTGAACACAACTTGCAACACTATGAAGGGAAATAATCAATCGGCGACAAGATTGTTGTACTCACCAGGGTAACTACAGAGAACAAAAGAATCCCACACCCCTCCCCCCTCCCCTTCATTCAAAGTTTTTTTGTTGTTGTTTTCTGTAGGTAGCTCGAACAGCGGCAAAACATTGCATGGAGGGGATGAGGGAGGAAAAGCTTTATTTTCCCCTCTGGAAGTCAGTGAACCGTCAGAAAGCCCTTTAGGGTGAAGTGTCTCAACTAATTTTGTCGCTGATTGATGTTCTCCCCTAAATGTGACAAAATATTCGTAAAACCTTGAAATCAGGAATATAATGATGGTATGACCATGAGAAAAAATGAAATTTTAGGCCCCGTCCACACGTGCACGTATCCGGATCTTTTGAAAACGGAGATTTTTAATTTTCCTCCGTATTCGAGATAATACGCATCCACAGGTAGCGTATTCGAATCTTTTTCGCCCGTCAACATGACAACGCTAAAACGATGGAATCACAGAGCATGTGAAAGGCCCGGTTCAAACGTCGAATTCACATGTGCCGGACTTAATGCGAGAGTTAACTGCATGTGAATTGCGACGTTTGAATCAATTAAATTCGACTGTTTAAATTAAACGCGGCGTTTGCCGTATCTGCGACTGAAACTGTCGAAGATTCGACTTAGGTTCGACTTTTGATTCAAACGTCGCATTTCACATGAGCCAAACTTAAAGGGTCCGTGCACACTTCGGCCAATCTATTTTTTCATTTTTCCAACAAAAACGGAAAAAGGACATATTACTTATCCTTATCATATTTCCATATTTCAAAGTACAGAAAAAAAGAGAAAAAAAGAAAATGGTCAGTAAAATCGATCATTTTTCATTTTTTTAATTTGGAAGTTAAATTTAAAAATACAAAAATACTGTTAACGGCTAAAAGCGATATTTTGCTATTTTTATTTTCTTGATATTGTTAGACAAGTGAGGAAAATAAAATAGTCTCCGAGTTCTAGATCATTTTTCTATTTTTCTGTTTTTCCCAAAAAATAGAAAAACAGAAAAATGAAAAAATCATATTTATTCGCACCATTTTTTCATTTTTTCCATTTTGTTCAAAAAATGAAAAAATAGGAAAATGGCATACCTATCGCCTAATTTTCCATAATTAAAAAAAAATGAAAAAAATGACAACTGTTGCGAACAATTTTTCTATTTTATTCAATAAATAAAAAATAAACAAACAAAAGAAAAACGGACAATTTTTCATCTTTTGTTTCAATGAAAAATAGCAAAGAAAAATGACAAATCATGAACATTTACTAATAAAGACAAGAAAAACCTAATCCACTTTAGACTTACTAGTTTTGTTAGACGATTTACACAGGGTCGGCGGAGACGTGGGATGGGGAGGGCGGGGGCTGGAGTCCTTTAGTTCTCGGAATGTATGAATGTATGTGTATGAGCAAATGTATGGGCCAGAGCATTAAGATGTTCTTTCCAGCGAGTGTATACTAGGCGCCTCATTATGTTTCTCCTCCATAATAATAATTCAATATACTTTACTCTTGCAATCCTAAAACACCCGTTCTGCGGCAAGATCCGTTATTTCGGCAGGCTAAGCATTCTACTTTTCAGCATCCATTTCATTTAAAAGCGTCTGACCTCTTCACTTGCGTGCTCTTTCTTTATTTTGTGTCCAACGACATTCTTGTTTTCCCCTTAATCTCTCTCACGAACCGCTTTTTTTGTGCTGGGACCATAGTGTTGCTGGCATGAAAACCGTTGAGTTACCCCCCACCTCCCGCCCCCCCTTTTCCCGTACCAATTTTCAGGCCTTCTCCTCCTCCCTCGTACCCTTTCTCATATTCTTCATTTCCACGACCGATACGGTACGGCTTTCCCGCTGCTTTCATCCACAGTCGACTCCCGACAACTCAAACCTTCAGGGAAATCGAGATCAAAAGTAAATGGAACTACGTCTGCATCTCGAAAACTAAGCCGCCCCCACCCCCGCCCCCCCAAATTCCCCCACATATCCGCCGACCCTGTGTAAATAACCAAACCAACCAAATCAGTGAGTCGATAGTGGATACGAATTAGGTTTTTCCTTTCTTCACCGTTAAAATATTCATAACTTCTCACTTTTCTGCGCCATTTTTCAATAAAATAAAAAATGAAAAACTGTCTGAAACGGTGTATCGTTAAAGTTTTTCTATTTATCCAAAAAAAGAGGAAAAATAGAAAATTGCTCGCAACACTTGTCATATTTTCATTTTTCTTCTTAAAATGGAATTATGGAAAATTGGGGGATAGGTATGCTATTTGTCTATTTTTTCATTTTTTGAAAAAAATGGAAAAAATGAAAAAATGGTGCGAATAAATATGATTTTTTCATTTTTCCGTTTTTCTATTTTTTGCGAAAAACGGAAAAATGAGTTAAGAATAACAGATTATTTCATTTTTCTCATTTTCTAACAATATCAAGAAAATAAAAAATAGCAAAATATCGCTTTTAGCCGTTTACAGTATTTTTTGTATTTTTGAAGCGGACTTCAAAATTAGAAAAATGAAAAAATGATCAATTTCCCTGACCATTTTCTTTTTTTCTATTTTTTTCTGTACTTTAAAATATGTAAATATGATAAGGATAAGTAATATTTCCTTTTTCCGTTTTTGTTGGGAAAATGGAAAATTAGATTGGCCGAAGTGTGCACGGACCTTAAAGCATGAATTTTAGTAAATCTTTGTTACATTACTAGGAATATTGACAGCGAACAGAGTTAGACTCGACAGAGTTCAGAGAGTTAAATTCGACGTCAGCGCCTGCCTGGGTCTTGTCATTATTAACAACAAGGAGACGATTCTGATCAAACCAGAACGACAATAAGCTAAGCTGAGCGTTTACAACAAAACTGCAGTAGGGGAGGTATCAGAGTAATACCCTGTTGTATCATCTGCGTAGAGTCTTAATAAAGACATATGAGGAACGAAAATTTTAAAATCGTTAATTAAAACGTTAAACAGAAGAGGCCCCATAAAGCAACCCTGAGCTACACCTACTTTATTGTCTGTATAACTAGAACATGTCCCTTGAACTTTAATCTCTGTTTACGACCGTCAGGTAGGAGGAAATCAACTGCAAGGCTCATGAGGAGAAAACATGCATTAAGTTAAGGCAGCAGTAGAATTTGATAGATTGAGTCAAATGCTTTGCTAAGACCTATGCAACTGCAGCAGCCGCTTCCCTGTTGTCTAGAAATCTCCTCCAGTCCTCAGATATTTTCATGAGAGCAGAACAGCAAAAATGGTGCTTTAAGAATGCTGAAGTATTCAACGAAAGATGACTTCGAATGCCATAGTGTACTTTATCATTTATATATAATTCTCTCGGACTCTTTGAACAAAGCAGTAAAAATTGATATGGGCCGATAGTTAGCTTTGTTTGTATCATCATCTTTCTTAAAACAGGGGTCACGATACTGCATTCAGTCCACTCTAGTGGCCAGGATTGACTGTTAATGAAAAAGTTGATTAATCTGAGCGATAATCTCGTTCACTATAACGGGGACACCCCAACAGAAAACTTCTTAGCATCTAGGTTGTGTATACGTAGTATTATTGTCAGTATATTTAGAGCAGTTACGAGACTGTCCCATCTTCTTCATGTGTTTTTTTCCGCGAAGCAAAAGTTTGTCAAATAAAGAAGAGAAGTCACGTTGTCGATTAAACTGTTCGTTAAGGGTCGCAAATTCTTGAGTTCCTTTGAAAGCCAAAAAAACAAATAAGTTATTTAACTTCCTATTCTGATTACTGTAGTATAGAAAATGCGCCCGTATATCAAAGTTTAGAATAGAAGTAACAGTAAGATTTGCGCTTGTTTTAAAGTTTTTTGTTTGAAGTGAAAGTTAGTATTTCAAAGGAGCTTCGCTGTTAGGCCTGGTTAAATCTTATGATAGTTGGCGTAAATATGAAGGTAAAAAATAGCAAAGGAAATACTTTGCATGAGTTTTTTCTCGTACGTTTTATCTGTGCTAGGTCTGTAACGCTTTTATGCGCTGCGTCCTAGGAGTTAAATATCACAAAGGCCTGACCTTATCGTAGTTGCAAAATAAAACATCGGCAGATACACTACCCAATTTTGTATTTGCAGTGGTAAAGAGCATAAAAATATAAAATAAGATTTTTTTCTTCTCTCACTTTTTTTCCATTTTCTTTTTTTTTTTTAACGAAAGTAAACAAATTCAATGAAAGGTTTTAAAAAACATCACGATAGAAATGAACCAGTTGAAAGGGTTTCTTATATTAGATCCTAACAAAGTGAAAAGGTCTCTCTGAGTATTAGGTTTCTCTGAGTATTAAAGTACAGAAGGGCTTGTCATGTTTGATTTTAAAAGGGCACATCTTAAATGCTCTCTGGATTATGGAATGCCAGATTTTTGCCTCCCAATTATTTTCACTTTTAAGTTCCTTTTCATTCTCCAGAGATGAAGTTCAAGAAGTTAACAAGGGTCTCTGTTGGTGTAACCTGCTTCGCAATTTTGGTTCAAACTGTATTTTGTCGTTTATACATTGGAACGAATACACAGTTCTGCTGTGAAAAGACTGTAAACTCAAGTGGCTTCCGCTGCTGGAATAAAACAGTAAAGGAAAATGGCGTACAGGGTGCGAGGAAATTCGACAACTGTTCTCAACATGAGAATGAAAAAGCATGCTTTAATGTCACTGAGATGCATTCTTGTCCACAGAATCATAGTTCTACTCTCCCTGTGCAGGAAAAAAGACAAATTCACATTGGAGCGTTTGTTCCATTCCTAAAAGATGACACATACGGACATTTTACAGCGATGAAAATGGCCATTGATATAATAAACAATCGAACTGATATTCTAGATAATTACACTCTGGTGCTGGACTCTGAAGATACAATTTGGGTAAGTGCATGATACTTTATTGATATGAATCACTTCACTGAGGATGATTTTGATGGGTCATTCTTGTAAGACGGACTTAACAATTACTTCTAAAATCTTCTTGTTAGGAAGAACACGAAGAGCGCTCAGACCATTTGTACGGAAAATCCGATAATTCCGGGAGTAGTTATGCTTCAGCAAACTTAACCGGATTTAGGTATAGGTATAGGTATAGGTAAAAACCCCAAGTGAGAACCTTGACGTATTACTATAAAAAAACAAAACAATTAATAACTTAACGAAGATCAGTTAAAACACACGACTAATAAAACCAGACACGTTTCTTAAGACACGAGAAATCAACTTTATGATCCTTTAATAGTAGAACTATAAACCATCATGGCGGCCGGTCGCCTCATTTGGTCGCTCCGGCTTTTTGTCCTTTTCATTCTCGTATGCAAGGTTAGGTGTTCAACAGGAACAAGAAATTGCCATATAACGGCCACTTGTAGGCTGAGAAAAAAGTTTTTTAGTCGTGTAATCCATTACCCTCCAAACTGAGATGCTGGCTATAATCCATGTGAAATTCCACTCGACTGTATTCATCCGAACCCAGGACCTGTGAAGAACCCCTGTGTACACTGCAAAAGAGCAATTGTCGACTCAAATTCAAATTTCACATTAAATGTGGTGGAATTACAGTCAAGAAACATTTGCTCATGGTTTCTGGTAACAAAAGTTGGACCTGTCAACCATGTTATTTGAAATTTATGCAGGAACTTCCATTTCACTCCGCATCATCGAACTCTTCGCAGGCGGAAAATTTAAATCTGTCTGCTGTTTCTGAAGTATCAGAACAAGTGGCGGATGTACGGGAAGACTTTTCATTTTTGAGGAAGGAGTATCGCAAGGAATTTAACATCGCTTCTTACAATATAAACAGCCTGCAAAGCAAATTTGTAGAGGTTAAGGAATGGCTCGATCAGCTAGTGTTCGATGTATTAGCAATTCAAGAGACCAAGATTGATCGAACATATCCCAATTCCCAGTTTCAGGTTGAGCACTATAAGGCAGTGAAAGAGCGTTTCACTAAATTATGCGAAGAAACGCATGGAAATCAGAGGACATTTTGGGGTACCATTTCACCATATATTAATTCACGTAAAAAAGTAAATATCGGCCGGATAATATGGGACTTTGAATGCATATTCTACTGGTTTTGATGCTAACAGTGCGAATTACACCTCCATCCCCGATATTGATGTATATGTATGTAGGGTATGCGCGGGTTCTTACAGTTTTGTCCGAGCGGTCCTGGGTCCGAGTTTGTAACCGAGCGAGGGTTTGAACCAGAGTGAGTGGAGCCTGGACCCGAATCATACACGTGGGATCGCGTGTGGAGGAGTGTCACGTGATCAAGAATCTCGTGCGATTCGCGTACTTAATATTAAGGTTCGTGTTATAGTGTGAGTTAGGGTTTTTCTTCAAGCTAAAGTCGGGTGAGGGTTCGTGTGCTAATCGGAAAAAAAAACGGATACCTATGTTCGAAAATTCATTCAATAGTAGTGAGGGTAGAACGGGTTTATATTTGTCAACAAATCGTCCATAGCAGAAATGTGGATTAAACATAAACAGTCATCCTTTTCGAACAACGCATGCGCACGACTAATTCAGAATTAATTTCACTTAGGAAAATTAGTGTAAAATTCTCGTTAGTATTCCCGCTTGTCACGCTTGAGACCTTTTCCACACCAAGGAGAGTAATTTTGAAACGACAACACTTATTCACGCTGAAAAAGTATATTCTCCAACAAAGCTTTACAGTACCGGAAGCTGTTCACTCTAACAAGCAAAAATCGCTCAGGTAAAACATGCTAATTTCCTTCGACTTACCAAACGTGTTTCTTTGAATTTAAACAATGAAAAAGTAATCAATCCTATCTATAAATTTATAATCCAAAGCAAGGGAGTAAATTCATTTTTCAGGCGAATAAAGTATATTTTCAAACACGTTTACTCAAGTAAAAGCAAAGGCAATAATGTTTATTGGTCTGAATCAAAATAGCCATGCGGATACGTCTTGAACGTCTTCGGGTCTACCATGCGCTTATTAAAGACCAATCTATAATTTTTGTACTGAGGAAACGTGTACAGCTCGTAGCGCTTCGCATTTCGTTCAATCTGATAGGTTTTCACCACTTGGGTTTCACGCGGCTGTTCCAGTGGGTGTCGCACTTCTGCCAACACGTTCTTCTTCATTACGTCATAATTTAACTGTTCGTGTCCTTCACTGTTCAATGAAATCCGCGCACTTTACAACAAACTTTCCCTTTTTTAGTCGTGTACCCATAATTCTTGGGCCCTCCGGAGACAATTCTGCAATGTAGTCATCTCCATCGAGCCTACTTCCTACTTCCTATTCTCCCAATGATTGACTGAGCTGAGGATTGGGTTGACCCGGTTCGCTGACAAACATAACTGAGTCCGTGTCAAAATACAGACAGCTTTCTTGCGATAATTCTAAGGCTTCGTAGAGATGTAATCGCGCCCACCAGGTTGTGAAACAAGCCACAAAAATATTCACATACACCGCTGGCAAATCATCTCCGTCTGTTTTCTTGAAGTAGACTTCCACCACATCGTCCGTCACCACATTAATCGATCCGACATCGATTTTGTCCGAGTCCAAAAACTCCGTCAGTTTGCGGTGTTCGGTGAAATCTTTGATTCGGGTCTTGTTGAGGGCTTATCCGAACTTCCCCCACATGTTGTTCAAAGAAATCTTCACCTCACTTCTTAATCCAAGATTATATTCCATCTTGTCTACTTCGAGCAGGATCCCCTCATTTGCATAATAAGCTTTGATGAAGGCCGCTTTCTCTTCCGGTTTTCCGGTCCAGCTCGCTTCTTCTTTAATCTTTAACCATGTGTTGATATAGTCTCTGAATAGAGCTGTTGGTCTTTCTGGGAAATGCCACACTTCATCGACAGACCACAGGTCGTACCCCATTTCCAACGATTTCATAATTTCAGGCGTACACCATGTTCCATGCAACACGCACTCCTCTTCCGTGTGATGACACGCCGCTAGTTTCTCGTTGAGCGGTTTCGCCATTTCTTCTTGCACGCCGGCAGAGCGGGAAGGTCAGTTTACCTTGATCGCGATAAGGTAACACAGGATGATACAATTCTGTGGGAGGGAGAATGGTGCATTTGGCCAATCCAAAATACTCCCCGAACGTACTGGGATCCTAAAGCCAGTCTTTTTTGCAGTTGAGTACCAGGCCCCGCGAATTGATATCCGCCTGACAAATGAAACTCTCTGCCCGTTTTGGATAAAAGTTTTTGAATATCCAATCCTCTACCGCGCTGTCGTCTGATACGGTTTTTTCGTCGCCCGCGTCTTGCGTGTACTTTTCGTTTGCTCGTCATAATCCAATATGCGTTTCAATGGGGTGTTGTTCCAAGGTTCCCAAACATAAGCTGCTTTTATTTTCTTGGAGGAGGGAGCTGAAGGCAATACGCGTTTTTTACCGGTCACAGTGGAGGCAGGTGTGAAATGAATGCTTGCCAGTTTGAGCTTGAGTTAATAGGTTTTTTGAGAGAAGACGTACTTGGGTTATCCACAGAGGATGGTGGCCTGATAGGCGATAGCGGCAGGGATGGCGCGACGGAACTAGGAGTAACAGGTTCTTTCTTGACTAATGTTTTGACTAAATTGAGTAAAGGACCTGAACTTAAATCATTGACTTCATTCTCCTCCAAACTGAGGGGTAACGCGCTTTTTGTGTCCAAGTATCTACTTTTTGACGTAAATCACGTACCATCGTCGCTTTTAAACCATCGGGTAAAATAGAATTAAGGATCGCTTCACGGTTGGCCACTTCCTGGGCTGCTTTCGTAATGATATTGTTCTCCGATAAAGATTGTTTATGTTTTGAATCAGAGCGTCCAACTCGGACGGGCTAACCAAACACTTTTTTTCAAAACTCATGTTGTTTCAATCCAATACAGTAAGGACAAATAATTACGACAGCTAGAACGTATGAGGCGTATAAGAGGTCTTGTTGCTTTGTCATGTCAATCAATTGTTGTTGTAATGTGTTAGTGGTTTTTTTCCTGACAGGCAATCAAGACTCTTTGTGCGTTAACTTGAGCGTTTGATTCCTGTAACAATTTGATGAGATCAGCCATCCCTTATTCCTCCACTTCTGTTGTTTTGACCCCTCGGCATTTTATCCACCACTTTGTTTGCTTTGGCTTTCATGAGCGGATTAATATACGTTTGGAAAATCTATTACGTCATCGCGGGCAAGTCCAATCTTGTTCAACACACTGTGTCATAACCCGAACATGAATTGGTGACAATGTTCCATAGATGCGCTTCCAAAGTTTGCGCGGTGTTTTGAATACGAGCTAGTGATGTTAAAACATGGTTGGGTATGCAACAGCGCTGACATTCTATAGTTAGCACTATCAATAACCGTTCCAACACAGACAAAATAGTTTGAATTTCTTGCTCCATCGTTTGTATCTGTAAACATGTCTCCGTCTTTTTTTTCTAACATTTCCAATAAAATGTTGACGACAGATAATATGGACTCTATTGTTTGAGACTTGTTATACATTTGGTTTTCAGTCCTTCCCAAAAGCCACGACCTATTTTATTCATCAAGAGAGTGCGACGAGCTTTTATAGGTTGACTCCGTTTACCCAACGTGTGTAACATAGTAGCAAAAGGTTGTAACTGCTTTTTGGTGTAGTGACGCATAGGGATGTTGCCTTTTAGCAGATTTAACGCCAGTACACTTAATGCATTGATTTGATCTTCATTTGCATGTTGTAAGCGTTCTTGTCTAAGATGATCATTTTTTTTTCGCGTAACACGCTTTCTACAAAAGGACGTTGTCTCTGAAGTGGATGCATGCTTAACGTTTATAGTGGCGGACATTATCTCGGATCCCTTTTATAGCTTGTTTTCCTAATAAGATCTCTAATTTAGGAAAGGAGGGAGACGGTCCGCTTAAAAACATGGCGGCGCCTTCTAAAATATTATCCACAGTCCGAGGCTTACGTCGATTCAATGCTCCTCCTTTTTGTTGTTTTCTCTTTACTTTTTTTATCCCTTTTTTCGAAAGTTTTACACACGTTACCACTTTAGGTGCATGTTTGAGACTTAACCGAACTCCTTTCAAGATCACGGGTAACGCAGTCGCCACAGTTGCAGCGGTAGCGAAACTCGTCCTCTTACAAGGCGCAAAATCCGTGATTAAATCTTCCGCGGTTTGTTGTTTGATTAAAAATCCTGTCAATTCAGTCGGTACAACCCCTCTAACAAACTTACGTAATTCTATTAAGGTTTTTTCATGATTGGTGTAAGCAAAGCGAGATATTTCTTCTTTTCGAGCCGTGTTTCGAACATCAACCCACCCTTTCACCAACACTCCAAGGGTTGTTAGCAATGTCACCAACCAGCTCAACGCTAAATTATTGCCAGCAATCACACCACACAAGGTTAGTAACAAAGCCATTCCATTAAAACAGGCGTTGATTTTCTTAAAATGTTGATAATGTTTGCGACACAAATATTGACGATGGTAATAACGAAACTACTTTTCCAATTCAAACAACATCTCTTTAGGGGCTTGGATTGTGCGAATAGTTCCATTCAATAAAGAGACATGTAATTTAGACATGTATTTGTTCATAAACAACGGCGGGAAAATCTTTGTCTAAGATATTATTGGTCCACAGCCCATATCGATCGTCCAAGGCTGGATGCAAATCGAGCCAGAAATAACCAAAAGGTTGCTGTGTCGCTTCTTGAAACAACGTCAACGCTTCTTGCCAAAGACTGGAAAATGCTTGCAGTAAGACCGTTCTTATACCTGTTTTGTCTCGTGGATTTTTAAAGACTGTCATATAATGGGTATTTCGATTCATGGTTTTAGCATATTTACCGGCCGGAAAAAGATCTTGGATCAAATAACAGACCCTAATGTTTGAATGATGTGAATGTTTCGTAAAAATATCCACTACCAACTCATCATTCCCGCAAGATCGCATCAAATCATCGATCACTAACAGACGCCTTTGCGTAGGAGTAAAGCACGTTTTAAGATCGTCTAACGTAGGCACTCCTTCACGAAAATGAATGATCTTGTTTTTTCATCTCATCAAACAAAGGCTGATACGAGCCATAACAATAATGTTGATTAGGGGGGCACACTCGTTGAAGTTGACGTAATAAATGTTGCGTAAAATAAATTTTGCCCGAACCGGAGGCGCCCGTAATCAGAATTCGAGTAGGGATTCGTATCATAATGTTAGTTGGTTTTAGTACATACACAAATGAGCCCCCATAGGTTAGAAGCCTCCTTGATAAAACTCTCACTAATACGATCTTTTATATGGCTTTCGGGACAAGTGTGAAATAAATATGTATGGAGCCTGTCAAATCCAACCGTTCAGCATATTGTCTCAATTGTTCATAATGATGATAAACCCAGGTATCCCCAAAACAATCCTGAGGATTTATGACTAAAGCCCAATATTCCATTTCTTTTAACAATTGGATGGATTTTTGAACCGTAAGTGTGCACATGATAAAATGAAAAGGGAAGGTGTAAAGACAAGGACTTGTATACACACAAACAAAAGTTTACACTTTTTTTATTTTGACATATTTGACACCCAGGTCTTACAACAATGTTTTCTAGTAACAAACCTATTTTATGATCATTGCTTACAAAATCATGAGAAGAAACTTGTTCTAAAAAATCTTGTAATGACAATCCTCTGGCTTTGGCTTTTAAATAAAGCTAAGCATAATGCCCACAGGCCGCACAGTTCATGGCTTGAATATGTTGATTGTTTCCAATCAACGTTTTTTTAGCAATCCATGCCTGCAAGTCTCTCGCTTCATACATGCTGACCGGTAACCCATAACTATCCATGATTTCACACACTTGATTCTCCCACCATAGTCCTAACCAATGTTTCCCTGATTCACTTTGAGGATCTGTATTCAAAATAAGCCCTTTTTGACCTCTAGGTTTAGGTAATTCATCGGAGGCATAGACACCTCCAAAGACTCTTTTTAAACAAGGATCTTGACGCGCTAAATCCAGTAATGTTTGGGTGGATAACGGAACAATATCCATTGTTTAAATCACACCTCCGCGATGATCCACTTCAATCACTTGTTCAAACTCTCCAAAGACAATGACTGTTAAATTCTGGTTGACAGCAGCCGCAAACTCAATTTCAATTCTTACATCACCTGTCAGAGGGAGGTTTCTTAGGGATGAGTCGTCATCGCCTGAGGGGACGTTGTTCCAGAAGTAAAGTGTACAATATCGTCCCTGACCTCTATCTGAAGGTTTAATCATGGTGCTACGTCCTTTAATAGTTTTGGCGAGTCATGAGCATGCAATGATAGCCTGCATAATCCTTGGTTTCATCTGTTACATTCAATTCTAGGGTAGAATAAGGTCTTTCTTCATTTCCAATCATTTGCTTCATTGGAGTAACTCCAAATTTTTGGAAACAGATGGGGTGATACCCTAGATCCCCATTAAACGCCTCTGAAAGAACCAACCTCCACAATGGTACGATCTGGGGTCCTGCCGGGGAAAAGATTCGCCTCCTATCATCTGGTGGTGTTTCCTGGGAAGGTAAACGTTCTGCTTTCACTGGTCGTGGCCAAATACGTGATCCATTTGCCTTTCACACGATATTTGGCCAAACTGTTGTAGAGGGTAGGGTTTAGCATAGGTCTGGACAAATAGAGACTCACACTGATATCATCATTGGTAACAGTGATTTGTTTTTTAGCAGTAATATTGCTTTCCCATGGGAAGAAATTAGGACTGTTTAAATAAAATTTCAATCCTTGCTTGACTCCAGGTGCTAACATATTTTCCTGTATAAAACATCGCTAGATGAAGGCGAATCATCAAGGGTACAACTTTATTGCTGTTAAATTTTTGGTGGCTTCTTTCAGAGCAAAGGAATCTGCATGCTTGTATCCAGTTTTGGTAATTTTATCATCTGTATCACTTGTTCTGGTTAAGGAGGGTATTAATTTGGATTAATTTGTTGCCCATTCAAGGCCATGGTGATGTTTTTAAAGATAGAATGAGACAAATTATTGACTTGGTAGACATATTTCGTTGCTGTGTTATCAGAGGCAGCATCATCTCCATCAGAAAGTCCAGGTGTACTGGCGACGGTTTTCAGGCGTAGATCAATTTGCACATAACTTTGAGTGGATTCTATAATGATGGGCCCGACTTCAGAAATCACATCTTCTTTTAATCCACGACCACACATAGCTGGCGTGTGGTACCTCCGTAGACTTCCGCCACGCATCGGTGAGTGCGTATGAAACTTATGTTACGGAACGTTTGGAATCTTGTGATCAAGGCCAACTTTTATACCTGTCTAAACAAGACGGTCAGGAATGTTTTTCCGTGATCCAACTCCACCATAGAACCATCATTTTCTCGTAAATGTGTTTCAATTGTTTCGAGAGATAATGTTGCAATCGGCAAGGAACCCACGGAATGTGTTTGGGTTCAAAATATAGGGTGCCTTGTTGCAATTGCTGTCTATTACAATGGGCTTCTGCTAAAAGATATGGCTCTGAACCTAGTCGGAATACACTAATATAATGGACGAGAGACGAGTCACTGCTTCCTCAAAACAGGGATCCAAATTACAAAACACCCAATCCACCATCAAGGAAATTTGAGGCCATTGATGTGAACTGACTTGAATCATATCTTTGTTATTACTGTAAAATTCCGTCCTGGTAATAGCATTAAAACGTTTGCTACTATTATCGCAGGGTAAACGAAAGTTTAAATTGGTCGGGTTTGGGTAATATTTATCCCCCACTTTCATTACCCATTTCATGTTCAAGGCCAAATCAATGGCGATATTAAATCGGATAGGACAATTCTTGATATCCTATAGGGCCTTGTTTTCTACAACAAAATCATGCCCTTCCCAGTGAGCGGTGCCTGACGCGCTTTGCATCTTGTCCATAATAGGGAGCGAGTTGTGTTTGAATAGCAGTTTGCACACTGCTATCGAAATGCTGTTTTAAATTTTTCATCATGAGCATACCATTGCTGACCTCTAATAACTCTGAGGTGCCATAAACGCTTGACATCCTAACTGAGTATTGCTCCCAACTTCGTGGATACAAAATGCAAAGACTATAGGTTTTTGACTTGTGCTCAATAGAGCATTATGTCTATGACTAGTCGCGGGCATACTAAGCGAGTAAAGCACCACTTCCCCACCATTCCCAGCCAGATGTAAGGGGGTCGGTAGGCGTACTTTAAAAGAATAGTTTTAATTGTCAGGATATTCAGGCGTTTTATCACTCACTAGTACGACACTCTGCATGTTTGTAAAAGTGAGGTGTTGATGGTTGAGGTTCCTTCTATTTAAACTTTTATGAACACGAGATTGGCAATGGTTTTACCCGCATCCAATTGAAGAAATTCACCATTGTTTTTAGCAATTTCAATTTCAGTCGTTTCCACAAAATGCTTCCGACACGGTACCCATTGCAAATGCGTTGGTTCAAAATACATGATACCTTCAAGGGTTCTTTCACAATACACTTCTCTCAACAAGTTGGTTTTCTGCTCTCCCATTATTTGACTTTGTAGTAAACCAGAGTGGACTAAAGAGACGGTAGAGACTTGGGACACGGCTCTTTGAAAGAGGCATCTAAATTTCGAAAAACCCATTCCATGGTAAGGAAAAGATAGATATAATTGCCCAACACTTTGTAGACTTGTTGTCGTCCAAATTCTGTCCGTTGAACTCTGTTATATTGATTAGTGGCATCTTCATAAGGTAAACGAAATAACAGTTTGGTTCCACTGGTCTGTATGTTGTTATTTTTTATTTCAAACCACCCCATTTTAACAGCAAAATGTTTTTTCAATACGAAATTCTAACCCACAAGCCTGTATTTGGTTATAGCTTTTACAGTGGAGTATAAATTCACCCCTATTCCATCTGGCAGTAATGTTATCACTTAGGAAAAAATAATATGGTCTGCCCCCACTTGAAAGAGCAAAGTGTTGAGTCACTAAATGTTGTTCGCTATCGATACGATGTTTTAAGATTGTCATTAAATGAATGCCACTGGTTGCGATACGGGCTTCTTGATTCGGGATATAACCTTCCCATTGTAATACTTGACTGTCGTCGAGTTGTAGACTACACCCTGTGAATTGAAACGGCCATGTCACATCATCGTTGTGCAATCCGGAGGTGTCTCTATCACGAGGGTTTGGGAAAGTGATAGAATGAAAGGCTATTTCCCACGTTCCGTTCTCTAACTGCAGGGGGGCTGGAAAACGTACTTTAAAATGGTTGTTCTTGTTATCGGGAGATTCAGGAGTCGTACTACTTTCTAACACCACACGTAACATTTTGATATTAAAAATGATCTTTTATTCAACTGAGTCACTTTTAAATTACAAGATCTGATTTCGAATCAATGAATCGTAATCCCGACTAAATCCCTTCCAGCGCATTTTGAGTTGATTGCGTTTTCGCGCCAAGACTTTTTCAACCCGGAATAATTGATCGTCTACATTCACTTTCTGTAGTTCTTGTTTGTAAAAACTACCTTCAATAGGGGTCCCGTTCCATTCTGTAATCTCTTAGGTATTGACCACCCCAGGAATCACTTGACTAACTAAAAGGACTTCCTCGGTCCATTGTGGCAAATAGGATTCATCAAACACTTTTTGTTTTTTACTCAATCGCACACGATCCCCCACTTGAAAGATAGGTTTTTGTCGCTTGGCCTTGATCCGTTTTCGATACAAATTCAACCACACTTGTCGTTCATTCTTAGCATTCACATCTTTGGGCGACATTTTAATACTTCGATGAGTGGTAGAATTATAGTCTTTTACAAGAGCCGGTAAAACGTCTAAATAATGCAATGAATTAGCGGCGGTGAGGTAGCGGTATAAGCGTTGTTTAAATGTACGATTGAACCGTTCCACGACAGCGGCTGTGTCTCCTTTGGTAGAAAATAAATGAATCTGATGTTTTTTCAACAAGGCTCTAAATGTTACGTTTTTGAACTCATGGCCGTCGTCGCTTTGAATCGTCAAAGGAATTTGTCCACTCTGTTTTAATGCCGTAGCAAAAGCTTTGGTGACTTCTTTCTGAGACTTGTTTCTCAAAGGTACTACCCAAACAAATTTCGAAAGAACATCATTGACGCTTAATAAATAACGGGTCTTTTTATTCCATTTGGCTAGCTGACCCACTTCCATTAAATCAAAAACACACTGCTGATTGATAGATAACACCATCACGGGTTCCGTAGGATAATGGAGGCAGCGAGGCTTATGTAATGTATAACTCGGTAGTGATTGCAATAGTCGTTGCGCTTCTCGGGTGGAGAGTTTGTTTGCTTTCGCAAAGGGTCGAACCCCACCAAGACTTCCTGCTTGTTTGGGGTTTTCGTACTTCTGTTGGCTTGATTTCATGGTGTGATACAATGACAGATGAATCCTTATAGTCTGTTGTTATACCAATTCAGTACAGCCAAAAGAGAAGGGATCTGGTCGAGAAAAGAATGTTGTAGAATCAAAAACTATAGATAGCCTGCTTGATACCCATGACTCCTCCTCAACCAATTGATATACACGATAAATCGTCCCTTATTTGATACACCCGTGGCTTGAAATAGTTGTATGGGGCAATAACGTACAGGAGGTATCTTTAATCCTTCACCTTGAGCTATCCATGTAAAGATTCCCCAAAGAATATAAGACCTCATATTGATTTAAAATGTGTTTATTACGGATCAAAAACAACTCTATTTATAACAAACCGTTTTTCTTTTATCTTAAGTTCTGACATCGTTGTATTTTATCACTTTTAATGTATTAAAAACGTGCAGGTTCAAACAAGTTACGTCTAGAATAAACTGCTAAGTTTATCACAATTCCCTACTAATTGTATGCATTACTCTCGGCCCGTTTCTCCTCCGGAATCACCAAAGTAGACGGTTTGAGCTTCTTTATCCGTGGCTTGTTCTTCTATTGTTCTGTAAAAAGAACAACGGCTGGAAGTAGGTTGGACTTCTTTTTCCAGTAAGAAGTGGTCAATCAGACGTTTCAGGTGTACTTTAGGCTTCCGCAAACTGACCGCATTCCTGTGCATACTTCATATAATACCCCTTTAAGGTTTGGTAGGCTTCAGGAGTTCTACCGAGACTTTTGTGATGCTCATAAGCGGGACGAATGCATTCTCGAAATCTAAGCCCTTGGAAATGATCTGGACTACAGATTGAATTTATACAATTCTCTACAACCACGAATCCTTCTTCTCGTAAGGGCACTTTGAATTCTTCAATGGGCGGGAAAAAGAGTAAACCACTGTCCACAGCAGGTGCTGTCGTCGGTTCTTTAGAACTCATGGAGATAGGTTGTAATAATTCTTTTTCTTTAGGATGAAGAGGGCTGTCCACCAATTGGAAAAATCAACTGTTTCCATGTCGTGAGGTGAGAAGCACGCTGTTCTTGTTTTTGGCAGTCCGGCTCATTCTCAGGACGGTTTGGGTGCCAGCCACATCTTTCAACTGGTCCCACTGGCCTTGTACTTCTGGATGAGTGTAATTATTACAGAATTGGAGTATTTCTAATATACTTCCTTCCTCCGCAAAGATGTGACTGAGGGCAATAAAAATACCCTTTTAAATTCCCTTCACGTTCGAACTTCAAGGTTTATTGCGGATAAAATGAACAGACAAGGAGTGAATAGGCTCCTGCTGGTTCTACTGGAGTAGGTGGTTCTGTGGGAGAAGGACTGGGGAGAGGTTCTGTCTGAATCCCTTGATCAATGGTCTTCTCTGTTTGGGTAGCCTCAACCTTTGTTCGTGCTGCTTGAATCATTTGCTTTAATGCTTCTTCCATTTTCAAGTCTTCTTTCTTCTTTTTCTTGGCTGCTTCTGTCTTCTCAGAGATGTCACGTTTTTTAACCATCGTGATGTTTTGATATTCTACGGTAGTATAAAACCAGTTACACCCGCTTTACTTGTTTTTTTCTACTTGCCCAAACCTGCCTTATGACGGCATGCATAATGCCCTTGCCCAAACTTGTCCTATGATGATAAAAGCCAAGTGGTTATTTTATTGGTGCCACAAACTTGACATGTTCCACTTGTCTCCTAGCTTCAGGCTATTCACAAGATTATTTTCAAGAAAATTTCCCTTCGGTGAATGTGTTATTCATCGCTTTCGATTTATTTTTTTTTTTAACTCAAGGATATCCAGGATCGTTTACAGCAAAAGTTTACTTGTCCTAAACTACAATTGTGTGATTATTGTAGGCGAGCCCATTATTTACTATGGCTGAAAAAACGACTACCCTACTTCATTGTTTTGGACGAGGCCAGAAAATGAATCGTATGGCGGAAATGTATGGAACAGGTAGTGGACTATGTTCTCTGTGAGTGTTGTGAAGAAGCAGTGCATGAAGCTTGTACGAAAGGAGAGGGATTGAGTTATGTTCCTGATCGCTGTAATACAGAAAATGTTTCCGGTATGAGGTGTCGTGATTCCAGCAATATTTTTCAGGACAAAGACTGTGAAGAAGGAAATGATCGCTACCCCTTACAAATTGATCAGGTGGCTAAACTAAAGGAAGAGAATGAACGGTTGAAAATATAGATACAGTTCTTTGGTTATTGACTTTAACCATAGTTGGTCCTAAAGGAACCGTTAGTAGCTCCTAAAAAGAGCTGTTAATTTATTTTTCCAGCACGGTGAGCATTTCGATCAGGCGATTCTGTTCTGTTATACACTTTCTCAACAGGAGTTCTCTTGAATGCTTCAAATGTCTATTATGGACTCCTGCCAGGAAATTTCTATCTTACCGTACTTTTCCAACGAGGGGCCGCTTGGATTCTACGGGTGTGGAATCCACCAAATTATTGACGGGTAGATCTCACTCGACTTCTTGAAGGGCTTTTTCCAGGGTAGCTTCCATGATGAACATCTGATGAGTAGAGATGCTCTTAGTCTCTTTTTATAGTGTTTCATTTGCATACGGTACATGGTAGTAAATAAGACGGCCACGTGAACCATGAAGTCGGTGCGCCAAGGTTAAAATACTTCATCACTACTTCACCGCTTTGACGGTAAAAACTGCGTCGGCAACGTCTTAGCTTTTTACCGCTCTGTTTGGGACGGTAAAATTGATATCTAAACAAACTATCACTTCAAAAAGTAAGTTGTTTGTATGTTTTTGATCAGAGCGTTTGAGAAGATATTTTGTCGAGTGAAAAAAATGACTTTGCCTCCTTGCTTTGGACTATAAATAGGATTGATTACTTTTTCGTTGCTTGAATCCAAATAAAATGATTGTTAAGTCGAAGGAATTAGCATGTTTTGCCTGAGTGATTTTTGCTTGCTAGGGTGAATTGCTTGCTTGCGTTGTTGTGTAAACCACTTTTGATTTGAAAATATACTTTTTCAGCATGAATAAGTGTTGTTATTTCAATTGCTCTCCTTGGCGTGGAATAAGTCTCAAGCGTGACAAGCGGTAATACTAACGAGAATTCTACACTAATTTTCCTAAGTGAAATTAATTCTGAATTGGTCGTGCGCACGCGTTGTTTGAAAAGGATGACTGTGTATGTTTGTCCCACATGTCTTCCATGGACGATTTGTTGACAAATATAAACCCGCTCTACCATAGCTACTATTGAATGAGTTTCCGAACATAGATTACCGTTTTTGTTCCGATCAGCACACGAATCCTCACCCGACTATAGCTCAAAGAAAAACCCTAACTCACCCTATAGCACGAACCTTAACCCTAAGTATGCGAATCATGCGCGATTCTTGATCACATGACAAACCTCCACACGCGATCCCACGGGTCCAAACCCTCATTCGGTCCCAAACTCGAACCCAGGACCAAAAAGTAGACCACAAAGGGTAATCTATATTTTTTACACTACGTTTTCCTCCCCAATTTTTTTAATTCCCTCCTCCTCCTCGACAATTTTATTATTTTCCCTCCTCCTACTCCACCTCCCCATTTTTTATATATTTTTTCTCTCCACCACTACCACCACGTTTCTATTGTTTCCCTCCTCCACCAACACCACTACCACATTTATGTCGCTTTCACTCCCCCTATTATTTTCCTGCCAGACAGGCCAAAAAGGCCAACCTCAGGCCAAAATAGCCAAAATCAGGCCTAAAAGGCCGAACTCAGGCCAAAAAGGCCCGACTCAAAGAACCAGTATTGTGGGTAGCAAGACAATAGGAGGAGTGAATACAATAGAAATGTGGTGGTGGTGGTGAAAGGTAAAATATATTTAAAAAATGAGGAGGTGGATTAGGAGGCGAGAAAATAATAAAATTGTGGAAGAGAAGGAAAAAAAAAGTGGGGAGGGAATATAATAAAATTGTGAAGGAGTGTATAAAAAAATTGAGGAGGGAAACGTAGTTTAAAAAAAGATAGATTGCCCTTTTTGGTCTACTGAATGGATATTTTAAAATCACTGAGTATTTTATCTTTTTGCAATTGTTAAAGGGTTATAAAGTTGATTTCTCGTGTCTTAAGAAACGTGTCTGGTTTTATTGCTATTAGTCGCGTGATTTAATTGATCCTTGTTCTCGCGGAGCGAGTTTATAATCTCGTCGCGCGCGAAGCGCGCGTGCAGCACGTGAACCGCGCATTGTACAGATCGTGTATCGTTGTATCGGAGAAGATAATTTTTCTGTGAACTGTAAGCGTTGTCTGATCTCTCCATCGCTTTTTGAAGCGTCGGCAGTCTGTATTCCCTCTCTTCATCGGCTCCATTTGCACTGTAATTGTATTATTTTGTCGCTGCCTCTGTACATGTTTGTGGTCGCTGTGTTGACGACGTTGCCTTCGCTGTGCTAAGCGATGTTCTCTGTGCTTTGAGCACGGCTTCTTGTTGTCGTCGTCTTTTTCGCTCGCGATGAATTTTAGTCGGCGTTCTCCAGAGTAGTTTCGGTTAAAAATCGAGGATTTCCAGCCACTTGTTGTGTTTGTTGTTCTGTGCCATCTGAATGGGAAATTGCTCGTGATTCACCGATTGTAAACATTGTTTCATAGATGAATAAACATGACCATTTCATGAATAACACATGAAATGCGCTGGTCATCAGCGGCGAAGTGTACGTTGCCTGGAAACGCAAAATGCTCCATGACGTAGTGCTACATGATGTCATTGGCGGACACCAAGCATATATTCATAGAGAGATTTATGGCGCACTGAATTTTGCATCTGGCTAAGACAACTCGCGGTTCACGTGCTGCACGCGCCCTTCGCGAGCGACGAGATTATAAGCTCGCTCCGCGAGAACAAACCGACAAAGACAAGACAAAACTGGCATTGTTTCCTCACGTGTTTTCTTCCGGCTTTGTTGTATAGGTGCTTACATCCGATTTAACATCTTTCTCTCCATTAACTAATTTACATCTTCAGGAACTTTCGCACTACGAAAATATCTCTCACTTGTTTTCTTTAAAAAGGAATCTGATGTTTGGAGGACATCGGCTCTTTTTTTTGACCTTTCTTCACATATAGATAACTTTAAGGTGGCCCGAACCTATTTACATGCGCGTTGGTTACGTTTTTGTATGGCGTTTTTCGGCAGTAACGATTTAACCGATTTCCATGATTTTTGTCATCCTTAATAACAGATGGTCGAACTTGCTTAACTTTTGTTTGAAGCATATGCCGATATCTCAAACGTTTCTATACCTATAAGAAAATAAATAGCATTTTCTTAAAGTATTAAGTATGCCAAAAATCATAGAAATCGGTTAAATCATTCCTGCCGAAAAGCCCGATTCAAAAACATAACCAACGCGCAAATAAATAGGTTCGGGCCACCTTAAGGTGATTCCCTGGTTTTGCACTGCGCATCTCTTACTGCGCATAACAAGATGGCCTCCGTAAAAAAGAGCATGTGAAGTAACAGTATTAAAATGAAGTTGACCGAAGAGAAACGCTATTGCAATTTTTGCTTGCGGTTGTTTCTTGCCGAGGTGAGACTCAATGTGGTGGGAATGTGCATAACGTAAGCAATACGCGTGTTGCTGAGTTCGACTTCCTCACGGAGAACCTCGATAGTGGATGTTTAATTTGTGCTTATTCACTTTGATTTTCATTTAAACGCTTTCTTTATCACATTGTGTCCTAAATGTGATATCTCGATGTAAATTCTGTAAAAACGGATTTTTTAATACTTTCTTCCCCCTTTGGCATACATTCTATTTTGAAACTCGCCCCAGTCCTCTCTCAAGAATCAAGGAAAATGCATTTGGTGCGCACTTCCTGCAGCTCTACCGCAAAAACGAGTACGGTGACCCCCATTTTTTATTTTATTATTTTAATAAGGACAGTGCTTCCTTTCAGTGAGAAAAAAATAGGCACAAATCTATGTTCAGTTTTTCGGCAATTTTACTGAATTGTACGGATTGAGCTATCACGTGTCGAATAGCGCGTGTCCAATTTAATTCTACTTTGGAGCGTAAAGTAAAAACAAGGGCATTAAAAGGCATTTTTCTGGTACGTAAGTGGATAAACAATGCATTAAAGTCAAATTCTGTGCGATACCACATGCATCATTGAAAAAATCTTTTCTTTTTGTCTAGTTTTGGGCGGCGGGCGGTTTTTGTCAAAGGGTCCAAAATAGCCGTATTTGTCACCATTGTGACGTCAAAACGAGCACGGTGACCCCCACTTTTTATTACCTTTTTATCATCTTCTTGACTTGTTACATCAGTGTACCAAGTTTCATCTACAATCTATGTTAGGTTCTTTTACGAGGGAATCACCTTAAAGGTGAATTCGATGGGAATAGTTGATGCTCATTATCATTAGGTTCTTCACATACGACAGAACTTCGTGTGTTGATATATTTCGTTATGTTGTTTTTTAAGGCTAGTGGTGCAACTGCCGTAAGAGCATTGTTTACCCTGCTGAACAAGGAAAACAAACCTGTTATATTGCTTGGACCATCCAACACAGCTGCCCTGGAACCCGTTGCAGAGTCGGCAAAACAATGGAAACTGGTTCAGGTTTGGACATCAACTTTAATTCATCACGGATGTTAATGTTTTCTGTGATGAGGCAAAATGAATAAAATAATCAATCAGTAGATGCTTCCCTCTGATGTTCCCATTATGATACTTGGAGTACTTTGAATGCAGTTAGATAAACGAGCAGGATTTTCTAATTTATTTCTCTATTGATTGACTCATTTCACTATTACGCTGGAGTACGAGAATAGTTCGTCTTCGGCTCGCAAATGTAAACGCCAATACAGATATCCCGCTTTAGAGCGTTTTCACATGACGTCACGGCGACCATATTGGTGTTCCAAAACAATGAAACGGCGGCCATGTTAGTGTTCCAAAGCAGTCCTCTGCGAGTTGACTTCTTTCTCATACAAACGCATTCTTTTGTAATTCCAGTAAATTTGCATAGATGCTGCCCATGTGAGGGAAGACGCTCTGTACATCGTCGTATTCTTTATAAATCATTAGTTAGGTTATGGACGACGTATTTTATGTTGTAAGAACGGAGTCATACGCTCCGGTCGTTTCTGCGGGTAATCACTCTTGCAAAAGCAAAAAGGCGTTAAATTTAAGATTTTATTCTTCCCGTCTTTCAGGTTTCTTATGCCTCAGGTTCGCCAAAATTTGAAAGCAAGCGGATTTACCCGAACACGTACCGTGCAGCTCCGTCCTCGGCTTCATTTAGTAAAGCAAAGGCTGCCTTCATAAAGTACTTTGGATGGAAGAGAGTAGCCATACTGCACCAATACGATCCAGAATTTTTTTCTCCTGTACAGTACTATTTTTTTATTTTAATGTCTTACGTAAATTTCGATTGTAAGTGTGAACGTTAAGTTTCCGCAGTAAGTGCACTACTGCTTTTTAACTGTGTATCCTGAAAGTAGAATTGGCATTTCAACGGTTCTACAGGGGGAAGATTCTCTCATCTTCAGAGACCCAGAGAACGATACACATTTAGTTCCAACAACTGCGCGGCATAGTTGAGGAAAATGCGTTGGATTTGTATGACTTACATGCGGCTCACACTGGACCTCTGTTTTTTGTTTTATCTCGCAAAATCGTCCTGCCCCAAGTTCATAATTATAATCCCGACTTACTTTCCTTTTTTTTTTCCTTTTAAAAACCTAAAACTCTCAAGGCAGACTTAGACTAGACGCATAAGATGCCACAAAATAAACCCTCTACATCGACCCATTGATTGACTGACTGACTAACTGACTGATTTATTTATTGTTTTGTTTGCTTGTTTTTTGCACAGACAGTGGATAAGCTGAAGATCGCACTTGTAAAGAGCAACATTAGCATCATTGCAATTGAAGGTTTTGAAGAGCTCGGCGATGTCAGTTTTCAGATGGAAAAACTCAAGGTTATTAAACTCCTAGTCATCAATTATTCATTTTAGTTATTTTTTGCATTTTCTGGCTCTACCTTGCCACTGCTTCAGTGCTGCTTCTTAGCTTCTTCTCAAATCTGGTGTCTTTTTCTGTTTTAATTAGAAATTGGATGCTAGAATAATTATCGGAGAGTTCGGCTACGTCGGTGCAAGGAACGTTTTCTGTGAAGTAAGTAATGTAACAAAGCAGAGAATGTGCTTTATCCTGATTTTTATTTTCAGTGTTTAATGCTGACCTGACTTATAACTTGACTCATGACTCGTTGACTCTAGCCTGCGTTGCCGAGACAAACTTGTCACTAGAGTTCTCTATCTGGGTCTCGAATCGGGGAAATAGACTGTCTGCAACGCAGGCTAGTTGACCAATGTGACTATTAAAAAAAGATTTCTCACATTAATGCCCACGATTACATATGTTTTGTCCTTCTCAGACCTTTTAAGGGTATAAACCGAAAAAGTAGACAGCTATGACACTTTATCTTTTTTTCTGAAAAAACTAACGCCTTCATTTAGCAGTGTTACATATAACTCTAACTCATGAAATTTTTATAATGCAGGCCTTCAAAAGGAAGATGTATGGACCTAATTATGCTTGGATAATATTTGGTGAATTCAGCCCTACAAAAATTTTCGCTGATGACCCGAAACTTCGAAACAGTGTTTTAAGAGATTGTTCAAGTAACGAGCTAAAGGAGGCAGCAAATGGTTACATTTCCACCATCAAGCTGGACATCCGTAAGGACAATAACCAAACTATATCCGGCTTGGTAAGTTGACTTGTACGTTGATAGAGGACATTAACTATTGTGTAAACGTTTCCCTTGCTTTGCGGCACTGTAGCTTTGTTTGTTCAATTCTGCAAGTACGAACACCATCATGTTACATAAATGCATTGTTTCTTTGTTGGCACCACTTTTCGCTCAAAGGGCGGAGAAATGTTATTAAGAAGGCTACCTTTTCAAGTTCTAGCTTTCTTTGCAGAACTTTCCTAATAAAACACCAGTTCTGGGACGCCATTTTTTTTTTCATGTTGTTGCCGTTATCATTATCACATTAACGTTACTTTTTCATGTTTCTTAAGACATCTGAAAGATTCTGGTGGCAGATGAGGCAACTGAACAAGCACAACAATCTGAGAAAGGACTCTGCGTACGCCTTCGATTCAGCATGGGTAGTAGCCATGGCACTGGATTCCGCTTTTGCTAAAGGGATGAAATATGAGGAGCTTTTAAACCGAAAATTCAAGCAAGTTGCAGCGATAAGAAGTGGTATTCAAAACATAAACTTCGCGGGATTAACTGTAAGTATAATCTACGATAACACGACAGATTTTGAATTATGCGTTTTATCAATAAGCATTATGCTACACTTTCTTTTAAGACAAAGAAACAGAAAAATTGTTTTGCGTGCAGGCAAAAGCTGCTTTTAAATAATAATATTCCTCAGTTTTTCTTGAAGATTCTAGTACATTTAAGATAGAATATGGTATTTTTTGTTGTACAGGGGCCTGTAGGCTTTGATGAAAACAGAGAAAGAGTTGGAACAGTTCTTATTAAGCAAAATAGAGACGGTGAGCTGCTCTGTAAGGATAATAGTTTCTTGTAGGAAAAGTGCTTGGAAGAAGAATTTCCTGTAAAAATGACAAGATGAGTTATGAAGAAATACATTTGCATCTGCATTTGTCTCAAAAAAGGCACCATTTTGTCAAAATAGAAGTTGCAGTTGCAGTTGTCTCCCAAAAGTAACAAACACATTGAAAAATACATTAACTTACAGGACGTTGAGAGAAGACTTGTAATGTGCATTTACAAGAAATTCTATAAAATATTTTTGATACACATTTTTTTCTCATTGTAATATTTATAATCATAGTCGTTTCAGTTTAAGTTTTAGTTGATTGCCAGCACGTTATGTGAATAACAGGTTAGGTTTTTGTTGTCCTTTTGTAGGAAACGAAACTAGGATTGGTCAACATTTCACCTCCTCCGACGAACTCCGTCTATTTGAATCTGAGCAAAATAAGATATGGGAAGGTAATAAATTTTTCCGTTACACTTCAATGTCTTTTCAAAATATCGAAATTGCAGTCACTGTTGATGATGATGATGATGATGATGATAATGATGACGATAATGATGATGTAATGACAATAATGATAATGATGACGATGATAACGATTTAGTGAATAATCGATTAATATGTCCGTAGATTCTGTTGGAAATAACCGAAGCTGATATAGCTTACACTCCCTCGAGTGCCTTTTAATTATTGAAGCGCCGTCCACTTGCCACGTCGTCTGGTGTCCTGTTTAGTTCGTTGAACAATCTGCAACTCTAAGTACATTCTATAATTTGCTCATCTGATGTTTAGTATTCTTTCCTGTCTGGCTCCAGTTAAATGTAAACACGAGTTTAGGGCACAGTCCGTTCAGAGTCACCGATAATATGCATGAGCGTATGGGCTCCCCCAGATTTAGGGAAACTCAGATTTTTTGCCCAGCAAGAGAAATTTGGGCAAAGCCAGTTTTTAAAGATTCAAAAACCCACTTTGAGAGCAGAGCTTTAATGACCGCCATTTGTGACTTGGAGTTTATCTTCAGACTGTGTGTGCTGAAAGTAATCCTGAGCAACAATAGTAGTCTGTGCAAGGTTGGGACTGTGAGAATTCTGTCAGATGTGCCATTTCCTAGGGAGGGAGAGATTTACTAGATCTTACTAGACTTTGCTTGAGCTCTCTCCAGCTAAGTTTATACCATTGTTACTGGCCCAAGACGTTTCTGTTGCGTGCCCATATATGCTACTCGAATTTTGTTAGAAACGACCTTTATCTGTGGATAATCAGGTAGCTGACCTGCAGCTTGAGCTGGGGCTATGAACGCCTGCTACGGTGAGATTTCTCTAATTTCAAGCATTGTTCTAAGGAATTACTTAATGCCAAAGAAAGCAGAGTAAAAGTCTCCATTGTTCCATGTTACAAGAAACGCGGTCGCGTAGTTTTTGTTTTGGACTCTTTTTGATTTCATCTTTTGCATTTCTCCTTCAGACAATCGACCACCGAAGGATCACACCGGCAGAAAAATTGAGCTGATGATGAGTCCCTTACCACTTATCGTCATAATGTGGTTCATGGCAGCGATCGGCATCATCTGCTCGTTGAGCTTTCTGTATTTTAACATCAGTAAAGGTAAAAACAGGTAGGACTTTAACCGTGCTGTTTCTGACCTTTTCCAACACAAAACATATTCTCAAGCAAAAGCATTTTTGAATTGTTTCCGACCTCTAATCTCAACGTGCATTAAATATTGGAGCTCTTTGCATATTTACATCTTTTATTTTCATTTTGTCAGGATAATCAAGATGTCGTCGCCTAAACTTAATGATATTATTATTATGGGATGCATCCTGTGCTACGCCTCCATTGTTTTGTTGGGTTTGGATGCGAGGTTTCTCGATTTGCAAGGTTATGGCATCAACTGCAACGTAAGGAAATTAATTATTAACGAGCATTTTCTTGAGCAAGAGTCTACCCTTTTCTGACGTATAATATAGCTGTAACATTTCAAGAGAAAGCTTTCCTTCATTTGGTGAACAATGTACTAAGGCGGCTAACGTAGAATTCCGATAAGACAGGTGTTAACACGGGTCCGGACAAATTTTTGAACGGACTAATTTTTCCCTCTGCAACCTGTTTACACGGAACCTTGCCAAATCTGTGCATGTTACAGTAGTTTTCAAACAAATTTTTGCCGGTGGCAGCATTCGAATGGCTTTTTTTTTATCACGGCGCGTAAATAGGCTTCAGGCTTGTCAGTAAAACGTGGGGTCTGGGCCGGGGTCTATCTTTTTGTTTAAAAGAGTGCTGTTTTAGGGTTAGGGTTAGAGTAAGGGTTAGGTTATGGTTAGGGTTAGGGTTAGTGTCAACCCTAACCCTAACCATAATCCTAACCATAAAACAGCATTCTTTTAAAGTAAGACAGACCCCGACCCCGGCCCAGGCCCCGGTCCCGGTCCCGGCCCCGGCCCCGGCACCAAAGCCGACCCCGACCTCGTCCCCGCGTTTTACTGATACCCGGTTTCTACCGCACAAACTGTGCAAAAACTTGAACAGTTCAGGTGTTTACACGAGTCCGTGTAACAGTGATTACAAGTTGCGTTTCAAGTTGCGCACCTTGCCGCAGGTCCCATGTAAACGAAAGGCAGATCCGATTTCACAAGTGTTTGTCCGTTCAAAACTTTTTCCGGGCCCGAGTAAAGGGGGTCAACCTTTAAGATAGCAGTTATATTTCTACTCATTCTATTTCTTCCCGTATTTTTGAAAGGAGAAAATGAGCCAAAAAATGTAAAGTTTTGGATTTATTAATAAAATGAGTTCGATTCTCACCAACAGGCACGAGCTGCATTGCTGTCTATCGGATTTTCCTTATCCTTCGGTGCAATGTTCAGCAAAACATGGCGAGTTCACAAGATATTCACAGCGGCCAAGACTCTCAAGAAAATGGTACGATGTGGTTCACTCTGTATTGCAGTTCGGTCTAGGTGTTTGCGAATTATATAGCAGTTAAAGGCTTCTCTTGACCTTGACCTCTTCACCTTGAATTGGGTGAAAATTCAAGGTGGATACTCCACGATTAAAATACGAGCATTCAACTAGTGTAAAGTAACCTCGAAAGAAACCCTAGCTATCGTTGTGTAGACCTTTTGTTTAATTTAGGAAATTTCATAAAAAATATTAGCTTTAGTGTTCTATGCACTGTTTTTCTCTTACAGCAACATACGTTACTTGCGTCCCTCTACAAATTACAGTTGACCCAGTTGGGTAGAATGATGTGGTGAGATAAATAATTAAAACCCAGCAATCTGAAATGAGACATGAACGGTTCTTTAACATTCCAATGCTAAAAGTAATCACCAATGCCTAAAATGTAGTTAAAGCTTTAGAGTATGTATACTAACTTTTATGATGTTCTTAATCGAATGAATCTTTACCGGGAATAATTTCGTAAAACACTGTTTTCTATTACATTATAACAGGCTATAAAGGATCTTCATCTCCTTGCTATCGTAGCAGTATTGTTAACAGTGGATGTTATTTTCTTGTCCTGTTGGATTATTATCGACCCATTCCAAGCTGAAGAATTAAAATTCGAAGAACTGGTAGGAACTTTTGAGTCGTTTTAACTTTTCGCGTGAACACGATATAACCTTGGTGTTTAACAGCCTCAACTCCTTAAAAAAACTCGAAGGTCATATTATCATTATTCACTCTTGCAGGGGTACAATAGGCTTGTGAAGCTCCAGCTTTGAATGCTCCAATTGGGTTGTTTCTTTCTTGTTTCTTAGTTTCTTAGAATGGATAACCTTTCTACTGAGCTACGGCAGGCAAACTCTCTTGGGGCTTTCAGGGCCGCTTGTGGCTGAAAACATTTTTTACTATAATAGTTGTTTCTTGTTGTTGTTTTTTTTAATTCCTGATGGATTGACATAGCTTAAGTAAAAGTTTTCATCCATTTATTTCATTCATTCATTCATTCATTCATTCATATAGGCGTACCTTTAACTAACAAATATTTTAAAGCATGATTACTTTCATGCCATTTTTTATCCATAGAGCCGAAAGGAACAAGACACTATCATCATTCCGGCTTTATACCAGTGCACCTGCAAATACAAGACCTATTTTCTGGCAGTCCTGTTTGCCTACAAAGGAATACTTCTGTTATTTGGGCTCTTCCTAGCCTGGGAGACACGCAATGTCACAATTCCTGCCTTAAATGACTCCAAGTACATTGGGATGTCTGTTTATAATGTTGTTGTGTTGTCCATTATCGGTGCTATTGTGGCCATTGCACTCGATGGATCCATGTACTACGAAGCTCCTTATGCCATTTCCTCGCTCTGTCTTATTGTTTGTACTACAGTTACGCTGTTATTGGTATTTGTTCCAAAGGTAAGTCATGACATAATTGTGCCGCTGCTGATGTTTCGTACTGCTATTGCTACTGCCGCTACTGCTGCTACTACTATTACTAACTGCCAATACCACCACCAGTACCACTACCACCACCACTGCCACTACTAGTGCCACCACCACAACCACTACCACTACCACTACCACCGCCACAACCACTACCACTACCACCACCACCACCACCACCACCATTACCACCGCCCTCTACTACCCCTTCTACTACCACCACTACCACCGCCTCTACCACCACCGCCACTACCACCACCTCCACCACCACCACCTTCACCACCACTACCACTGCCACTGCCACCGCCACCAATACCACCGCCCCCACCACCACCACCACCACCACTACCTCTACCATGCCGTGACGTCTTACTGTAAGCTCTGTAAAAATAACCAGCAGTGTGAATGAAAATCGTCGTTTTTCATTTTAAAGCACCCCCAATACCTTTACCTTTAGATCTACCAATTCCTTATGAAGGAAGAAGGAATCCTCCAAGCCTCCTCTATGCATGCTGCTGCTACCGGCAGACCGCGGGCTCATAGTCACAGCCTGACGTGCGCAATCCCTGTGCTTAAAGAACGACATACCTCATTTACCTGCAAAAGCACACAAACAGATTTTGATGCCCCAGAAAGTGCAGGTAAAGAAAGTAATGATTGAATAATGGCATGAATACCAAGTGCATGATGTTAAATAACAAGTAAATACATTTGTAGTTAAGACAAATAACGGTTTGGTGGTCGCAATTCCACAGCGTGGTTCTTCGTCTACCACTCCAGATGAAATTGGGCTGAGTCGAAAGCGAAAAACTGGAGAGTAAAGTAAACTGTAGAATACCAGGAGAAAACCTTTCCAGTGCACCCGCGACAACCAACAATACACTCGACACACCCTCTGAGCTTCAAACCTGTGTCACATTACTGGGGTAGCAGTTGGGATGGTGTGCTGCCATCACTACGCCACCTTTGCTCGTTGCAATATCGATAACGTCGAAAGATAAAAAATATTCCTAGGTCCTTCCTTTGAGGATCATTTAGGCAGTCTATAGTTTTTGCTTGAATGATCATACTATTTTTGTATTCCGCAAGACATTTATGAGCAGAGCAGCACGAATAGCATAAACAGATCACGCCCGGGAAACGCCTACTTGTCTGTCTATTGCCATTACTGGCAACCTTTTCCTACTGTCAAATGAAGCAAGGCAGGAAAATATATGTAGGATAAAGGTTGAAATTGTTGCTGAAGTTGAATAATGTCTTTTTTCTATATTGTGTTGCCTCGCATCATCAGAAACTTGTTTCAAAATTTCAAGCTCTTTTACTATGCTTTTAGGCCCCAGTACTCTCCTCATTCCACTTCTTGAAAACCGGGTAGAATACGATGGACATGCAAGAGTTTAAGAATGTTGCAAGTAATTCATACGCACACTATTTCGCTCATCTCATCTCCACATAACAGCTTTGGTTTCTAGTCACGCATTTCTAATGAAACCTTCTTGATGGATACTAATGAACCTCTTGGCAGCTGGGGCCTTCTTCTTGTTACTCTTTTTATCTTTTTACTTCAGGGAATATCTGTTGATGGAACATATCTGAGGGGTAACTGACCTGTTCAGGGTCACCCTCCATAATTGCCTTGAAAGATAGGAGTCTCATTTGCTGACGAAATCGCTGCCATTTGGTCTTGTCTATCTTTTTGCCTTAGGAAAAGTGCAATCGTCACATAAGAAATCTCAATAGACCATTTTACAGTTGTTGGCTAAGTATCCTAGCCTATGAGTGAACGTCAGGATGAGGTTGACCTTGTTTTGATGCAAAACCCTTTTGTTATAAATTAAATCCGCGTTGCCGATAGCAACGCGTCCCTTAAATTCCCTAAGGGTATTTTGCATTCAAGCGCTATGTTTTAAAAATTCAGTTTGAGCTAGCAGTGGACAACAGGGGTCTTTTTTGCATGAGCATGCGCGACCGCTGAACAAGCGATGTGCATGGAGGCTCACCACAGGGTTTGCCTTCATCAAAATGGCGCGTCCCAAAGCTATCATAGCGATTATTTTGCTCGTTGGTCTTGGCGAATGTGCTCGTCATTTAACAAAATGTGTAGTTTGCAAAAAAAACTCTAACATGGTCTTAGCAAAAGCGAAGTAGACCGGTTTTAACATACATGAGCTACTATCAAATTTCATCTCCCCACTTGACCTGGACAACAGCGCGCGTATATGTAGTTCCTGGAGGATTGCACTGACCTCATCAAAGTCTAAACAAAGTGCAGAAACGTTTGTTGATGCAAGTAAACACTTTCAATTTTCTTTGTTTTGAAATTGGAAAGGAAGAGAAATATTAAAAAAAAAAAACATAGCAAATTTCAGCGAGTGGGTTCGAAGTGCGCGAAAGCCGATGTTCAGTTCAGCAGTGAATTAATATATGTTCTACAATTTTCCCAGCACTTTAAAGCTACAAAATTAAGAGCACACGAGACGTAGATTAGTCACCTGGTGAGATGTTGGTGGTAGTCACCCTGTATGTCTCGAACAATAAAAAGAATGAATATCAATGAGACACAGTCAAAACTGCGTTCAATAGGACCGAAATTTAAGTCCAATCTTGTGACCGATTTTGATGAAACAAAACGGGTAGGTTTCCCAAGAAGTACAGTAAACATGTGATGCCGACCAAAAGTTAAAAATCATTAGAACATTTAAGTTCTGGCCAAAACCAAATTCCTGTGAAAGATGCGTTACAATGTTAGTCCACGCAAAAACAAGAAGTTCTACAATTTTCCTATAAACAAACTTTGTATCGCTAAAATACTTAAGGCAAAAACTTTCTATTCCAACTGAAAACGGCGTGGTAGTCGCCCGCTGATCGTTATTAATCCACTCCCGAAATATGGCTAAATCAGCTATTAACAAATTATTGACAGAAATCCTCTACGGCATCGAGAAACTGATTTACATCCGATTTATAGACAAACAATAAATAAAGAACATTTTGCTCAATAGCTACGCATCAGGAATGCATTCTATGCCAAACTTTGCGGTTCTTAAACGGGAATCAAGATACGAGTCGAGCGCCAAACAACAACAAGCAGCCATGTTCGTGTCAGACATCCTTGAGAAACTTGCTCTTTCACCTCGTTCAGCGCACCAGTCTCCACTTTAAATCAACAGATCTTTACTTATTTTGTACAACGAAGGTCTTTCCTAAGTTCCTGCTACCATTTCAATCTCAAGCAAGCTTTCAAAGTGAACAATTTGGTTCCTATGACTATGCAGCACGGTTGCTGTCACTGGTCGCGTGCTCTTTGACAAGTCAGTGGTCGCGCATGCTCATGCAAAAAAGACCCCTGTTGCAGTGGACATGAACAGAAGAATTCAGATTTAGAAACGAAGACCCGGAGATAATTCACGCTAGTATGAGTAGTTTTTTCTAAGAGTTTTTTCATCCTTTGAGCGAATTTCTTATCAAGATATTTGGGTTTTTCCTTTTTCAGCGAATCATTCTGTAAATCACACTATTAATCCTCGAAATGTAGAGGTGAAAGAGGCGAGCCGATTTCGACGCGTGATTGCTAATTAACTTGAACTGTTAGAATACTGAGACACAGAGAATTAAACAATGAATCTTGAAGAACAGCGAAAAGACGACGACACCATTCTATTCTTATAAAAATTAAGCTTAGGACTCACATAGCAAAAGGGGTTTTATCAAAACAAGGACAACTCAAGCCTCGTTTTTACCTGTAACTGTAAATTGGGGTATTATCTAAATCTTTAAATTCCACTTTACAATCTCTTTTTCTTTGGAATTTCCAATGGTGAAGAAATTACTTTCTCTTTCCCTCTTTGATGCACGTGAGGCATCTGCCAGTGGAATTCCAAGCACAGATCTCTGTGTTTCGGTTCTCAATCCAATCTATTTCTTTTTTTCCGTCAAACTGAATTACCACTTGTTAGGCACCACAAAAGTATTAAACTGGTGGAATAAACTTCCTTGCAGCGGCGGCAAATATATCGGGGAGCTGGTCTAACTTTAGGCAAAAGGTGCTTACACTCTTAGATCTGATAGTTGAGTATAGGTGACCACGCCCTCCTTTAAGACTAACGCCAGGAAACAGATCTAATCAAGTCCAGCTCCAAAGCACGCCATTGCAGATGTTAATTCTTTGGTTAATTTACAATAACTTAGTTGGCTCCAACTCTTTCCTTACCAAACTTGGTCTGAAAGTACAAAATATCCAGCCAATCAAATTGGCATGTATTTTGACATCAAAAGGTCAAAATATGACGTCACAATTGCGCACGTTATTCATACTTAAATTGTAAACTTTAGAATCGTACCATTTTTTTATATCAATTTTAAAAGAGCAATTCAAGGAGAGATGAAACCTGAAAAAAATTTGCAATATCTTATATATGAGCTGAGATACGACATTTCAATTTGGATAAATTTGTACTACAAAGTAAAATAAGTCTTAATTTAAGCGTTTCATTGTCGTGTCACCATTACCATTTAATATAAACATAAGACATCTTTATCTTCGAAAGCTAAAGGAAAAAGAAAATTGAAAAACGAAATTCCTAACTGCACAAAAACCAAGAAAACAGTTTTGCGACGTCATTAAAATGTCAAAATCAAAGGGTTCGTTTTTTAAGGAAAAATATGGTTCCAGGTGCACTGAAATATCTTTATTAAAATCCCATAACTCGATTTCTACGTGTCGTAGCGAGAAACGGTTTTCAGCGTAGATATAAGGGCGCTTTTCATTTGTCAGAACTTACCGGCCAGACCATTCCCGTCGCACTAATAATCTCACTTTTAATCAAAACTCTCCAGTAGTAGGGCTTCAGCAAAGATAAGCCTCGTTGGTGGATTCCCTTTGGATTCCCTCGCAGAAAGTGGATTCCCTTAATTAATAGGCATATGGGTCTAGTCAATGACGTCATCTATTGTGATAACCTAGGGAAAAAATGGGTTCCTTCATACTAATTAAGTGTCTTCCTCCATATATAATGAAGTGGATAGGTTTACTAATGAGCGTCACTCTACTACAATAGGAACAATAGGCCGGCCCAAACTTGCCCGGGATCTTGTAACCCTGATTGGATAGTAAACAATCCATTATGTGTTCAACATAAAAGCGCGCTCTCCGTTCAGCATTTTATTCTTGCAATCGCTTTGTTAAGGAGAACATTTGTCCGAGTTCGCTCGTTTTGAGAAAACCTTTATTTACTTTTTGAACATCATGGCTTTCATTACCAACGTTTGCGAATTTCAAGCTCTCTTGGATGGTTGTTCCTCGACCCACGATTGGGAATTATTGCTGGAATCTATTTTGATACGCGATGAGTGGATCCCAGTGGCGTATGCCCGGCTGTCGGAACTCACAGCCCAAGAGATACCGGTAAGTATTCTATTTCGTCTCTGAGTTCTTTCCTGATGACGGTTTACGTTTAATCTGTACGTTACCGAAGCGAGTTTATATTAATCTTTACTTAACGTTCTACTCCACAGATTGAAATCAATCAGGACACGGGTAGTGATGAATTCAACGATCTACTGAGCGATTCGGTAAGTTTTCCAATATGTTATGTCACGAAGTAAGTCTTCTCTTCTTATCTAGAATAACAACGAGTCAGCACCGTTATCAGCGCAAGATACACGGGATAATTTTTTTGATGAGGTAAGCATTCATGATCATAAAATTATTTTTCTTTCACGGAATTAAGTTTGCACTATTCATTGTTCAATCACTCATGTGTATATTTCTGTTGTTCATTTTCAGTGGACTGGCGAAACCAGTGAATTACCCACTTGGAACCCGTCGGAAACCGTAAGTCATCTTTCATGTTTACTTGTTTAGAATACGCTGAATGCAAACGTTCCCATTAAAGTTTTTTGAAAATTAAATTGTTTCGGCTCACCCAAAAAGACAATATAATTCATTCCTAAGAGTCAGAAGAAAATAAAAGTTGGCTTACTATTTATGATGTTGAAGGCGTAAATAGTTTATTCTCAGTTATCGATTCCGCTCTTCACTGATCAAATATTGTCTTCTCCCAAAGTGAATTCGTTTTTGCGGATGAATGCACCCATATTGAAATCTATTCTATTGTTTTGTTGAAAATCACAACAAAGCATTTGCTCAATGTACTAATATTCTTCAATCATCAAGCCGAGTTGAAGAAAATAGACAGCGTATTATATATACTCAAACAGGTATCAGAGCAATTTAAGCTATTTCCACTAAGCAGTTGATTATAGCAATATAGCAGAGTTATAATATTACCCGCGCGCTTATCTCTGAAAGTCAATTATGTCGTGGATCGACACATAAAATTTAAATTTATTCTGTTGATTCAACATAAAAAACAAACCATCTACCCAGTTGTTGAGACGCTCATTGTAGACAAATAGAGTTTATCGGGGTTTCTTGTTAGTTGAGCTTTACGCTAAGACTAGGTCATATTTACTAATTATAGGAAATTCAATCCGGGGATGGTCACCCTCCACCAGCCAAAAAGCCTCGTAAAGAATATCTTTGTGACACCTGCGGCAAGACCTTCTCTCGCCCAAATCATCTAAATACTCACCAGCGAACCCATACTGGTAAGAAACCGTACGAATGCACCCGTTGCGACAAAAGCTTCACCCAAAAATCGCATCTCAATCGTCACCTGAAAGCGCACGACAAACAAGCTGCCGAACGGACGTTTACTTGCGCAACCTGTGGCGAAACCTTTAATAACCGCGCCCCTTACAACGCTCATATTCGCACCGCTCATCAACAACCCGCCACTGTCACTAACAGGAAACGATCCGCCGCTAAAAACACAGACGCACCTGCTGCTAAAAAACACAAGAAGTCCGCTGATCCTGGTACTTCACCAACTACACCGCAAACCTCAGCGCCCGGGTCTAGCTGGCACGAAGATCCTGTTCTCATTCCTTCGAACCTTATTCCTGCCGCGGAGGAAAATATCACCGACACGTACCGTCAACACTGGCCCCAGATCCGTACCCGATTTAGTCGCCGTAACCGTTTACAAGACTGGTACAATTTCCGCCTGTCCACGATCAGTCCCACCGCTCTCCGCGAACAACTGAGCAGGATCTTGGCTGATCAGCCTACTGTGTTTAAAGTGAAGTTTTCCTTTGGTTTTATTCTCCGTAATACAGAGACTGGGGCCCTCCAGTATCATCATCCATCCGCGAACAACAATTTGGTGCTAGAACAGCCGTTCCTGATTTCAAGTCCAGACGATTTAGAGCGCCTATATCAGCAGATAGCGGAGATCGATTACTTGGAGTGGGTTCGACAGCAGCGACCTAACAGTAAATGGGTCGTGGATCTCATCACGAATGTTACCTGGTTTGTTTGGAAAATCAGGGATCATCCGATCGGCCGTGGCAAATATCTACCAGGTTTTATTGTGGACAACACGGGAATCACCCCACTCGATCGAAACATTCAAAGAGGCAAGCCTTATGAAGATAATCTGTGTTTTTTTCGCTGTCTGGCCCTCCACAACGGTTGCCACATGAAGAATTTAGAGAGGGACACGCAGTACTATTACCAACAGTATCGAGACGCCGGGTTAGGAAAAAAGAAGTTCCATGGGGTCAAGCTGTCCGAACTAGACGAGTTGGAGAAATTGTATGAAGTGAATATTCAAGTATACAGTCTCGCGCCTACTCAGAGCCACAGTAAAGACGAAGACAATGAAGAAAATACTCCCGAGATTGCCGCCACCCTGCTTCGCCGCTCTCACCGCCACTACTCCAGCACGCTTTACTTGAACTTGTACGAAAACCATTTCTCGTATATTAAAGATCTCGCCCGGTACAGTAAATCCTTCTGCTGTTCAAGATGTGGCAAGTACTGGAAACGCGCAAGTAATTTAAGGCAACATGAGAAAACCTGTGACGGCAAAGTCCAGCTGAAGTACCCTGGCGGAGCTTACCATGTCCCTAAAACTATCTTTGAAGAATTAGAAGACGAAGGTATTGTCGTTCCTGAAGAATGGCGGTACTTCCCTTACAGAGCCACCTTCGATTTTGAATGTTACTTTGACAAGAAGAAAGCTCAAGAATTAAAGAACACTGAAAAGTTAACCTGGCAATCTGCCCATGTTCTCCTCAGTGTGAGTGTGTGCAGTAACGTGCCTGGTTACCAAGCACCGAAATGTTTTGTGTCTAACGGCGACCCAAACGTGTTTATTACAGAATTTATGCAGTACCTCACTAAGATAAGCCTGAAAAGTTCTTCTATTCTCAGTGAACAGTTTGCACCTGTGTTTGAAGCACTGAAGCAAGTACCTAACCGCGATGACTCAACAGAAGACCAATTAGCGCAAATACTTGTTGATATCCAGGAGGGTAGTCAGCAAGCTGAAAGTGAAGAAGGGGAAGATAATGATGAAGAATTAAGTGACTACGAAAGAGATATCGATTTGATGGCAAGTGATGACGATGACGACGAGGAAGAAATCGAACCGGAGAATGAGGAAGATCGCGCGTTTCTCAATGATGAGGTAACAGAAAACGACCCTTCCTTTTACAGAAGACTGAACGTTGAGTTGGATACTGAGAGGAGACAAGAGAGGAGACAACAGCGAGATGAGCTAGCCCAGTACGAAGATGTGTTGTTTGGTCAAGAGCAGACTAGCGACAACAAAGTCTTAACAAAGCTAGCTGAAAAACTGAACGCATACTTACAAGAACTGCCCGTGCTAGGCTTCAACTCTGGCAAGTACGATCTCAACGCTGTGAAAGAATTTGTATTTCCCTACCTTATTGAGTCTCAACCCATCAAGTTCACTGTCAAAAGAAACAGCAACCATATGTGTCTCAAGACAAACTCCTTAAAATTTCTGGACATTTCGAACTATGTCGCGCCGGGTTTCAGCTATGACCAGTTTCTAAGAGCGTATGAATGCGAGCAAACCAAAGGTTTCTTCCCTTACGAGTGGATCGACAGCCTGGACAAGCTCGAAGAAACATCGCTGCCCCCGCATGAAGCTTTCTACTCAAGTCTGAAGAACCAAAACATTACAGAAGAAGAATATGAGTACTGCCAGCAAGTATGGGAAGAAAATGAAATGTCCACCTTTCAAGAGTTCTTAATCTGGTACAATAATTTGGATGTCGTTCCTTTCCTCGAGGCTGTAGAGAAAATGAGTCAGTTCTGGCAGGAGAGAAAGATCGATATGTTTAAAGATGGCATTTCTGTCCCTGGTTTAACCCTCAAGTACCTCTTCTCTTATCTTTCACCTCAAACTTACTTCAGTCTCTTCGATCAAGCGAACAGTGATCTCTACCATCTGATCAAAGACAACAACACGGGCGGCCCAAGTATTATTTTCCACCGATATCATGAAGCCGGCAAAACAAAGATCAGAGAAGCAGAGGAAGGCGAGGCTGCTAAGCTGTGCGAGAAGATCGTGGGGTATGACGCGAACGCTTTGTACCTCTGGGCGCTCATGCAAGATATGCCCACGGGAAGTTATACGAGACGCCTGTCGGACAATGAGTTCAAACCGAAAAGTTCTGTACGCATGGCTATTGAATGGTTGGAATGGGTGGCGCACAAAGAGGGAATTCACATCCGACATCAGTTAAACAATACAGAAAAGCGCATCGGTGGTCGTAAACTGCCTGTGGACGGTTTCAACGCGCAGACGCAAACTGCGTACCAGTTTCACGGCTGTTATTGGCACGGTCATGACTGTGCTCTCAACCGAGGGAAAGAGTTTAACGAGAAACGCAAGAAACCTATGGCTCAGATCAGAGAAGAAACGAGAGCCAACACGGAGTATATCCGCAGCAAAGGGTACAACGTGGTGGAAATGTATGAATGTCAGTGGAGAGAAATGAAGAGAACCAACCGAGAACTACGGCATTTTATTGCCACCGAAGTGAGAAGAACCCTGGATCAAGTCAAGATCATGAGTCCCGAACGAATATTGAACGAGGTGCGACATGAGCGTTTGTTCGGGTGCGTGGAAGTAGATATTCGTGTACCAGATCACTTAAAGGAAAAGTTTAGTGAAATGTGCCCGATCTTCAAGAACACAGAAATCAGTCGCGATGATATTGGTGAATTTATGAAAGCGTACGCCGAGGAGCACAACATCATGGCTCAACCCCGTCGCAGTTTGATTGGGAGCATGAAAGGAGAAAAGATCCTGCTGGCCACACCCCTCCTCAAGTGGTACCTGGAACATGGTTTAGAGGTCACGAAAGTGCACCAAGTGATCGAGTTCACCCCTCAACCCTGCTTCAAACCGTTTGGGGATGCGGTGTCAGACGCGAGGAGAGCCGGAGATGCGGACCCCAGTAAAGCCATCATTGCAGATACCATGAAATTGGTAAGTTTTTTGTTTCATTCTTTCATTCATAAAGGGATGGGAACAATATACATTTTCACGTATAGAAAAAACTTATATCTTTGTTTATCTCTCAGGTGGGTAATTCAGGTTATGGTAAGACGATCACCAACCAACTGAAACACAGAAACGTGGAGTATTGCAGTGACGCTCATGATCAGGCCAGCCGAAAAGTGAACACCCACCTTTTCCGTAAACTAGAAAACATCACTGAAGATACTTATGAAGTGCAGTCTTGCAAAAAATCCATTAAATTAAATCTACCCATTCAAGTAGGCTTTTTTGTGTACCAGTATGCCAAACTTCGCATGCTACAGTTTTATTATGATTTCTTAGACAAATATCTAAACCGCTCAGATTTCCAAATGTGTGAAATGGATACGAATTCAGCGTATATTGCCATTTCAGGGGATAGTGTTGAGTCTTTGGTCAAACCAGAATTGAAAGCAGAGTTCGAAGCTGATAAATGTAACTGGTTTCCCCGTACCGACACTGCGGAACATAAGGCCTATGATAAGAGAAAGCCAGGTCTTTTTAAAGTTGAGTGGGAGGGACAAGGAATCGTGGGTTTATGTTCCAAAACCTACTACTGTTTTGGGGCCAAAGATAAGTTTAGTTGTAAGGGTGTCAATAAGAAATGCAATGACATTAACAAAGATAAATACCTTAATGTCTTACTTACAAAACAAAATAGTGCTGGGGTGAATCGAGGGTTCAGAGTTGTAAATAATACTATGTACACTTATGAGCAAGTTAGGGATGCCTTTTCGTATTTCTACCCGAAACGTAAAGTTTTGGCTGATGGAGTTAGCACCACTCCACTCGAAATTTAAAGTGTTCAAGTTTGTAAAAAATGGATTTTGTAAATAATTTTCATTTTCTCAAGTTTGCATATATATTACTCTCAAAATAGTTTTCCGAAATATTTATATAAGATAGCCTCTAGTTGTAAATATTTTTTTGCGTAGCTTATTACGGATGTTTGTACATAGGAAATTAGTTTGTAAATAAATCATTGGTTGAATTTAATCGTGGCTTGTTTCCTGACTCGACGCGCACGACTTACACGTGAGATCTCCACGCGCGCCCAGGGAAAAAAACACAGGGTTGAAAAGATACCCTTTCTGCCCTTTCTGCCCGATCTGCCCTTGAAAATCAACAATAAATTTCGTGTCGCAAATAGTTTTACTCAGTTGGTATCTAACATTCGTCCTGTCAGCATGAAGAAACTAAAATGTAAACACTGCCCCATACCGGGATGTCATTCTAAATTCTTAGTTCGATTAGCAAATCATTTAACTCAAGTCCACGAGTTATCGGAAATAGAACGAAAATATTGGCTTCAATTTGCAAAATTACAAAATACCAATGCGATTCGTGTGTATGACAAGGAGGCTGAACCCAAAACAATTTTTTTTCTATAAATGAGAGTACGCAGTCACGCCCAAATCAGTTAATCAGTTGTGACCATGGACCCGAGATGGAAACATCCTTTCCCCGGGCTTGTGGCCGGCCCAACATGTTGTGGGAAAAGTCAGTTTGTAAAACGTTTACTAGAAGCAGGAGAAGACATGGTTGATGGTGCCCCGGAAAATATCATCTGGTGTTATAGCATGTATCAACCAGCCTACAATGAGATGCTTAAAACTATTCCGAACATTATGTTTGTTGAAGGAGTGCCTGGTGATCTGGAAACCCTAATTAATCCCTCTATTCGGAATTTAGTCGTCATTGATGACTTAATGCACGAGCTTAGCAATGATCAGCGAATGACTAATTTGTTTACCAAGGGCTGTCACCATCGCAATCTCAGCGTGATCTTTATTCTCCAAAACATTTTTCATCGTGGAAAAGAACTGAGAGATATGAGTTTGAATTCTCATTACTTAGTGGTGTTCAAAAGCCCGCGTGATAGCAGTCAAGTCAATCATTTAGCAAGACAAATGTTTCCCGGTCATGTCAAATACATGCAAGAAGCGTTTGAGGATGCAACAAAAAGGCCCTATGGATATCTATTTTGTGATCTTAAACCGGAAACACCTACCGACTTCCGGTTGCGTACGAATATTTTCCCCGGGGAGACTCAGTACGCTTACGTCAGAAAAGTATAAAAAGCGTGAACCACATCAAATTTCTTCAGTTGAGGATGGCACAGCGACTTAGAAAGAACCACGATTTTCTGAAACTGCTTGTCAAGTGTACACCAGCTCAGCGTAAAGCCATTTTGAAGGTGGCAGACGACGCTTTAGTAAGAAGCATTTGTGAGTGTGTTTTAAACGTGCTTAAAGGAACAGTGCCTGTCAGTACGCCAGCCAAGAAAAAACTTTTACCTCACAAGAAATCTTTGATCGCCTTAGCCGAAAAAAGTACACCACTCGATAAGAAAAAGAAATTGTTGGTACAACACGGAGGAAATTTTTTAAGTGTTTTGCTACCTCCCGTTCTCCGTGTGTTGAGTTCGATTCTTACCTAAAATGAATCACACAAAGCGTATGGTTCTCGTGCCCGAGAACACCTTGGAAAGATTACAGCAGCGCCAGCAGATTTTAACCCCACCCGTCACACAAACTCTGAGAAACTTGGATAGTGAAATGACCGATATTTTATCCAGTAAAGAACTTGATGATGAACAAAAAGCTAGGCTTTACAATCAAGTGTTGCAGCAGTACTTGACTTATTACGATCAGCGAGAAGGTCAACCTCTTCATGTGAAAATATCAACCCCCAAAGCAGTAGAAACACCTAAACCAGAAGAAAATGAACAACCTTCGGAAGAACCTGTCCCGGAAAAATTCACTTCATCATCCGTAGAGGCAGAGGTCATGAAAAGTCTACCCAAAATTTACAAAGCCGGGGCTAGACAATTGTTGGATAAAATTAAAGAGCATCAAGATGTATTGCATTGGAATGATAAAGGAGAGCTTTTGTATGAAACCAAACCCATTCCAGGTTCTCATCTGGTGGACCTAGTCAACGACACATTGCGCCACCGCAAAGGATTTGAACCAGTAGGATGGTCGATGTTTGCGAGGGGTCTGGCCCGAATGAATGTCCCGGAAAATCTAGTGCGTAATCCACAGAGGCAAAGTGCTGTTCGAGAATTTAAAGCAAGAGTGAGAGACGAAACCCCTAACAGTCCTTCCCGTTGGCTACCTAGCCCACCTGTGACGGTATCCCCCGTGAAAAAACAGCGGCGAAGAAATGCGAGTCCACGCCCTGAGGCTGTGCGCTGGTTACGGTTATAAAATCACCACAAGAGACATTATTATTATTATTATTGTAAATCATCTCTTTATTTTGTTCACTCAATAAAAGATGTTGAAAAGAAATTACAAGGTGTTTATTTATTGAACTTTGTGCTGGGGTTGTGCTCTTTGCTTGTTTACATCAGTGCGATATTTCGGAAGACTTATAGGAAAATGTTTTTCAATAAATCGCTTGACAAGACCATCATTTTTACGTGTGTTATTAGAAAAACGATGCACAATTGTACTCATACTTATTTGCCGACTACGATATAAAGCAAAATACAAACAGTAATGTCCGCAGACTTTGGAATAGATGCTCTGTAATGTAACAGTATTAAAAATCCACTGGTTAGAATTGTTGTTTAAAAAGGTAGTAAATGTTCCTGAATATTTGCTGGGAGGTGCTCCGTAAGAATCGAAAAATTCTCCCTCTTGCTCCTTGGCGAAATAAAACGTCACCCAATGCGAACCTGGCTTGTCACTCGTATCCACATTGGCGATGAATAGGGCTGGGTATTGCGAAACACTCGCAGGTAGCTTGTCTGAGGGATACACGCCTTGAAACACACCTCGTGTAAATTTATCCTTTCTCAAAATAAGGGTCAGTTGAATGGTGTCCATTTCTAGTTTGTGTAGTCGTAGAGAACGTTTCGGTTTTCGTCGACCTCAATCACGTTTTGAAATTCAGCGTAGACGATAAGGTTGACCGTGTTGGCGAGTGCTTCCGAGAAATGAAGCTCCAAGCGCAGGTTTCCTTGTTTTATGAGCTCAAAATGATCTCCCGGGCAGTGATCTGGGGTCAAATCAAATGCGAATAAGGTATAACCGGAGCCGTAATCACTTCTATTTATCTGATTGCCTGTATCCTGGGAAAGCTTTCCAATACCAGAGAAAAGACTTTGATAGCCGGCTATCACATTTTGACCACCAGCGACGTCAAACTTCAGGAACAAAGGTTTTCGGGGGATTTGTTCTCCGTCCACGTACACACCCACTTGAGTTAAATTGTGGTGATTGAAGTTGAAGGGGTTGGTACGGTAACTCCCATTGTAAGCCTCTGTGTCCACTAATCCCAATACTATGCACTTGGGAATTTGACCCAAAAAGATGTTGTCAGGGTTAAAACTGCTAAATCCTCTTGGAATAGAGAGCACTTTACAGTCGATTCTGCGAATGGGGTACTTGGCGCTGGAGTGTTTTAGCCCAGCTGCATGGCCTAGAATGATAGAAGAGGCAACCTTGACTCTGCGTACAAACAAGATGGCTTCTGTGATAACCACTTTGAAATTAGCTCCGGCTGCTGAGGACACAAGACAAAACACATTCTTGGCTCGGTTCAGTTTGATTCTTAAATTAACTCCACTGAGCATCAACCGGTCTTGAAAGAATATATCACTGTGAATGGGTCCCATCATATCCACCGTATGACTTTCTTTGGTAAACTCATAGCGAGCCTTTAATCCAAGGTTTGCTTCATCGTCTGCAGCCAAGGGGTTCACTACATTCATCTTTCCAGCAGTATCTTTGTAAAACATGGCCATAGAAAGTTGACTTGTTTTAGCGTCTTCTCCGTAGTTCAGCAAAGACTCGATTATGGCACGATAAGGGTAAGTATTAGTGGATGCAGATATAAGTCGCTCATTCAAGGAAACGTCTACTTGTGAAAACAGGGAATGTAAAAAGAGGTTTACGGGACCCACTTGTGTATCGGCATCTAACGCGGTTCCGTTTGCTTTCGTGATCTTAGCTTTCACATAAAGTTGTGTCCGCGCTAAATCTAAATATTCTTCTCCGGTTCCAGATACGTTAAATTCAATAGGACCAGTGTCCGTGATGTTGCTGAGAGGATGATATTCAATCCATTGCCCTTTGTGAATAGAGGTTTGTGTAGCAGGAATAGTAAAAAGATCCAGCTCTGATTTAGTACACTCGCGAGACTCGTGATGAACGAAGGCCATTCTATTCTTTATCAAAAATGGTTTTCGATTTCTTCTGCTGTGGAGATGTTTTTGCTTTCTTTCCTGGAGGCGAACTGATTGTTGAGCCGTGCGCTTTCCTTTTATAGCTTTTTTTGCCTGCACCTGACTGTCCTTGCTGTGACTTCTGGGACGTCATGTTACCTATAGCTTGTTTAGCCTGTTTGCTGATTGCTGTTTTAATGTTATCTCCGCCAAGCACATCTTGGGCAACATTGACACCCGTTTGTAAAGCTTTTTTTCCAATCACCTTAGCACCTTGTTGCAGGTGAGGTATCGCCCAGCGGAACAGACCTTTAAATATGGATCCTAAGCCATAACCTCGCTGAAATCGAGCTCCGTGAAATGCGGGTAAATTTCCACCTTTTTGCTTGGCTTGATCTACATAGTACTGTTCGTAAAACTTATGATTTGGGGCGTGGAGTTTTTTCATTTTTAAAAGTACTGAGGTTGACTCTGACGAAAATGAAGTGTTAACAACACTCTTCCAAACTCAAATGGCACAGATTCCCCTGTGTCTCGCTTTATATTGACTTCGATGGTTTCAAATTGCTTTCTGCTGACAGGTAAATATTGAGGGCGCACAAACGATTTACTGACTCGCTGACTGACCTCTCCTTCTACAGGAACAATTCGAAGCAAAGGGACCAGTGCATCACCAACATATTGTGACTGAATAAGATCACAGTAAACGAAAAGATCGTGAAAACCGTATTCCAAATCCACTTGTCTGTCGCCCGTGGTGGTCTTTGAAATAGTTTGTTCGGGAGTGAACCCCAGCATATAGGCCATATCATTTAACGAGACTTCTGCGTTGTTTTTCAAATGAACCGTGACCATTCTGCTGAGATTATCGTATGAAAACCGTACATCATCTGTATACCGATTTTCATTGTCCACTAACTCTTTCATCTTTGATAAGATATCTTCAATGGAAGAATAATGACCCGAAAGCATCTCCAGAGAGTCCCAAACACCGTGGAGTTTTTCATTTCGAACGTAAAATCGAAACCGTTGAATATTATTCCAGCTATGCGGATAATGGATCTCGGTCAAAGCCACTTCCCATTCGCCTGTAAGGTTTAGGGTTTGTGGTAAACTAACTCGGTACTCTGTTAATGTGTTATGAGGAAATTTATCGAGGCTGCTATTGCTAGGGAGGTGCAGATAAAACTGTGTTACCTCCATCGTTTCGTGTGTTCAAATGAACTTTTTAATCTGGGTATTCTTAATTTATTAGAAACCACACACCATTCATTTTATTATTTCCTTTTCTTTTATTCACTAAATAAAAAACACATAAATTACAACTTCAAAATATCACTTTCTTGAACCCAGAAATCAAATTTTGGGTCTTCGTATCCTTTCCATCTCACAAGATACTCTACTACTCCTTTACGCTTTCTCTTACGCAAAATCTTTTCAACGCGGTACACATCATCATTCTTAATAATTTTCTGCAATTCAGGCTCATAAAATGTGCCATCTAAGATTTCACCTGCATCATCTTTTAGTTTATAAACGGGGACTTGACGAGCCATTCGCTTGTAAACGGTAAAAATTTCTTCCGTGAAATTAGGTAAGTACGATTTTTCAAACGTTCTCTTTACTTTGCTGATCCTCACGCGATCTCCCACTTGAAATTTATATCGCACAGGCTTTTGAACATCATCCCCATACAAAGTATCCCACACTTGAGCTTCGTTCTTTTTAGTTACCTGACTTGGTTTCATTTTAATACTTCGGTGGTAGGTGTTATTGTAAGAAGATACTAACTGAGGTAATACATTGATATAGGTGAGAGTGTTTTTGGCCGTGAAATATTTGTACATCTTGTTCTTAAATGTTCGGTTAAAACGCTCAACCACTGAGGCTTTGAGCCCAGAGTTAACAGTAAAAAAGTCAATGTTGTTATCACGCAGAAATTTCTGGAACACACGATTCAGAAACTCTGTTCCTTGATCCGTCTGCAGTTTAGTAGGTTTGCGACCAGTAGAAAGGATCTTTTGAAAGGCTTGGACCAGTTCTTGACCTTGTTTTGTCTTCAAAGGTAACACAAAAGCGTACTTGCTGAAGATATCTACACAAGTCAGTAAGTATTTGTAACCCTTGTTGTAGCGACTGAGGTTTTGAAGATCGACCAAATCCGCTTGAAATTGGGCATTTATTCCAGGAACGATGACTCGACTTCGCTTGTAGCGTCTTCGTGCGGGCTTGTGAAGAGTATAAACATCTTGCTGACTCAACCAATCTCGGACTTGTTTACGCGATATCTTGTTCTTTCCTTTCTCTTTGACTGCTCTGTAAACAGCATCTAAACCACCGAAACTTGCGGGTTGGCTTGGGTCGAGATAAATGTTGGTCAGTGCTTTCTCCATCACAGAACTCGGAATTTTGTACAATAACTTGACCCCCGCAACAAGCTAATACGCAACGAATGCGGTTGAAAATGCGCTCTAATACCAGAGAGGGTGAAGATGGCCAGCAACCCATTACTAGTGATTGCTATGAAGGTTCAAAGCTGAATGATTTCTTTTTTCTTCGTGTTTACTTATATAGCTACTCTCGAATCTGGGTAAGAGTGGGCACGAGAAAATTAAATAATAGTTCCCATTCCTCCTCGGTTAATTCTAGCTGATCCGCGAAGTTCAAAAATACCACCAATCGTCCCCAGTTTACTTTTGAAAAGACCTCAGAGTGGAGTTTTTTCAACTTTTCTAGACTCGAACCCGGCATATCTTTAACTTTTTGTTGAAGCATTTCCATTTCACTTGAAGACACTTTCAATGTTTTGGCTTGTGCGCGATACAGAGAAAAGTCGACTCGAAGCAAAGACAGAGAAAGCCCCATCTTGACTAAGACAGAGACAAACACATACTGACTCACAATTTAGATATAAACAAATTTTATTACTTTTAGAAACAAAGCTTATTTTGAATGTCATTAATGATCAAGTCAAGATCCATTGGTTGTTCATCTTTCCTCACAACTCTCTCAGGGCATTGCACTTCAACTTGGATCCCACAGCACTGGGATCTTTGCACTTCAGTCCACAAGGTCCGTAGTAAATAGCATACAGAATTCGATCTTCTAACTCACCATAATCTTCGAGTTCCAAGGAAGTGAGATAGATGTTAGTCCAAGGCAACTTTGGTAATTCGGTCACGTACGCTTCCCACGTTTTGCCAAGTTTGAAACCAAGAGCACTGCACACACTTTCAGCCGTTTTTAAGATAACATTGAGGTCAATTTGTTCCACCACTTCATCATGGTAATACATCCATGCGTCATCATTATCTATCATCAGGCAAGAATGTTGGTTTTGACTTGGGTGTTGAATAGCACAACCGTGGCAGCGATTCAGCTTTTCTGCTTGGATGAGTTTGTCAACCGTAGCCGCATAAGTCAGTTGGAACACATGGCCGATAAGGCTAGCTACCCGTTGACGTTGGACTTTTTCCACTTCATCTACTGTCAGAAGCGGTGTAGCACTCGATTCGACTTGCATGTTTGGAGTAATGTTTTAAAAATATTGGTGATAATAAGACTTTTTCCTTAACAAAGCGATTGCAAGAATAAAATGCTGAACGGAGAGCGCGCTTTTATGTTGAACACATAATGGATTGTTTACTATCCAATCAGGGTTACAAGATCCCGGGCAAGTTTGGGCCGGCCTATTGTTCCTATCGTAGTAGAGTGACGCTCATTAGTAAACCTATCCACTTCATTATATATGGAGGAAGACACTTAATTAGTATGAAGGAACCCATTTTTTCCCTAGGTTATCACAATAGATGACGTCATTGACTAGACCCATATGCCTATTAATTAAGGGAATCCACTTTCTGCGAGGGAATCCAAAGGGAATCCACCAACGAGGCTTATCTTTGCTGAAGCCCTACTACTCTCTCCAGCCAGATCAGTCAAATCCTAAATAGCATGCACGAAGGAGAACATTTTTCAGCAAAAACGCTTGGAAAAAGCCTATTTCATTTTAAACTGACTTGTCCGGCCATGGTCCGTCCGGCCAGTTTTGACAAATGGAAAGCGCCCTAAGTTTGACTTTGAAATTAAAAAATTCATTTAACCAATTTTGGTGACGTCAGCCCTTATGACGTCATAATTTGACATTTTGTGTCAACCAAAAAAAAAATTACCTGGTCAACAATCGAACTCTATCTGGCACGACTGGTCAAGAAATGAAAAGAAATGTAAAAGTTACGTAAATTTAGCCTAAATGACCGATTTGAGGGGTGGTTTGGCCCTAGCGTAATTAATGTTACGATATCAAGTTACATTGTAGTTTTTTTCATCAAATTCGATAGCTTTTTACTTATATTAATTGAAATTATTTCGTGACTAGCCAGCGGTCACCAATGATGTTACATAATATTGCCCAAATATAAAATGGCGAATCGTTTCCAGGCAGGAGTGAACTCAACAAAGTGACCAAAGTGTTCATTGCTATCCGTAGACAAAAAAGTCGAAATTCTGACTAAATCTGAAGGGAAGAAATGCAAGAGTACACAAAAACATATTGGTCGATGAATGTCATCTACTTTTTTGAGTAGTATCTGCGACAAAAAACATCTGTTTATGTACTGAAGCCGTACGACGAACAGGCAAATGTTTTGAAGAAAGTATAGACGGAGATAGGGTTGGTAAGAACTTAGAAATATTTTGAATGAATAACACAAGAATTACCGTGAATTTCCGAAAATAAGCCCGGGGGCTTATATTTTTCAAAGACCCTTTTTGAGGGGCTTATATTTGGAGGGGCTTATCTACAGAGGGGAATTTGCGTTTCAAAATCGATTGGGCTAGCCTTATAGTTGGCAGTAAATTTACTTTGTAGTTGAGGGCAATTCTCCAAGTACAAGCCCCCAGGGGGGGGGGGTTATATTTGGAGGGCGATTTAACGGAGGTTTTTTGCGTTACCGGTTCGTGGGGCTTATACTTGGAGGGGCTTATACATGGAGGGGCTTATTTTCGGAATTTTACGGTATTGAACTTGGCTTTCGTATGATATGAGAAATTATGCAGATCTCGGCCTCGGTGGATAATTAATAACACCCTCCTCGATCTACATAATTCCTCGTATACAGTCAACTCCCTCTAAGACGGCTTCTTTGGGACCAGCACTAAGTGTCCGTCTTAGAGATATGTCCGTCTTATAGAGAGTCAAATAAAGGGAGTAAAGAAAGGCAGGGACCAACCCTAGGCGTCCGTTGTAGGGAGGCGTCCGTCTTATAGAGGTGTCCGTTAAGAGAGAGTCGACTGTAATACTAAACCTAATTCAATAATTGTTTATTGTAAGATATTCAATTGAATTATATTATCTGTATACCGATATTTGTAAACTGCATGATATCTGATTCTATTACTGCGCTACTTTCGTTGATATCTACAGTACATTGCAATGCATGCATAATCATTCAATAGAAGCAATTAGTTATTGATTAAAAGGTTATTAGAGACGCAATCTTTACGCATGAAATTAGTCACAACTCATGTTTATCCCCCACCCAATGCAATCTTCAAAAGCAGACGGTCTGTCATTTCACTAGCTACAAGATATCTCAAGCAAAACTGTGTGTATAACAAACTGATTTTACTTTTTAGTGAACGAAGTAATGTTCAAGTGCCGAGGCTTCGGCGCAGATGACATACCGTATGAAATACGCATGGACGACATCCATTTAGACGAAACAATGATGGTAGAATTTAGCCCCCGTTCCTGTGAGACTGTCATCAAAAATAGCTACCACACTGGAGATCCAAGCGGCTTTAAATGAGATAGTATAAAACGTCTACTATTCGTAGTTCAACTTCTACACATTTCTCACAGCTTGTATTCCGTTATACTGAAACATAAGGAAATAAATAGCCCATATCTCAACATGTGTTGGTCCTGGCATACGCCCTAGTTCTTTCATAAAGGTCAACTTTGCAGTTTGATATGCCCAAGAAATTGCAGAGTACAATTCCGCCTAGGGCATTTCGGAGCTTGAAAACCCTCGCTTTAAAAGTACAAACCTCTCATATGAAAATTAGTTACATTTGCACAACTAAAATTATTTTCATATCCAGAGACCACGCACTTACTCCAGTTTTCAAAAAAAGGCTTAGCACAGCCTGGCAGCTGTTCAGGCTTGCCCAGTCCTTTTTACAAACTCAAGAATACCTCAGCAATATTGATTGTGTAATGACCAATAACAACAGAGATCAGGACTCGTTAATAAGGTTACAGATGATTTCAGTCCTGTGGACATGTATACAGCCGGATTTTGGCATGACATGATTCGACGGTCATTCGTTCTGCTCAAACAACAATATTCATAGTTTGACAAAAACTGTTAATGAAGAACTAAAGAATGTTTCTGATTGGTTAAAGGCTACCAAATAGCCCCTTAATGTAAAAAAGACTCATAGACGAAAATATTAACTGGAAAAATCATATAAGTCATGTTTGCAGCAAAATTACAAAACTTTCTGGTATACTTTGTCGAGCAAGGCATTATTTACCTTGCGTTGTTACGGGGGGTCTGTATTATGCACTAATCTACCCATACCTAAGTTATAGTAACATTGTATGAGGAAATACTTACACAACAAGACTAGAACCAACAAGAAGGCTACAAAAGAAAATTATAATGATCATTACTTTTTCAAACTTTAAAGAACACACTTCTCCTCTCTTCAAAGAACTATTGATTTCACCTTTAGATGATATAAACAATGAAGCCATTGCTTTGTTCAAGTTTCGTTACTTCAACAACAATCTACCATCATCACTTCTTTTGTCTGAGCAAAGATGTTCATCAATACGATACAAGATCATCCTCTAACGTTCACAAAATCCAAGCACGAACTAACTACCAAAAACACTCAGTAAAATACAAAGGAGTTTCAATATGGAATAACTTGCCAAAATCTATAAAAGAAATTAAGACATTCAGTTTATCAGGCAAAAAAATTAAAACGTATTTTCTCCACAAGCAAGAAAATCAGAATTTCACTATACTAACGTATTTACATAAATATTATTCTAAGTAAGTTCGCCGATTACTATAATCCTCGTAACACAGCTTTGTCCTTTTCATAATCTTTAAAATAAATCATTGTAGTAAACTTGTTCAGGGGTTCTCCTCCGAAAGCCCAAAAGGGTTTCCTGAGAGATCCTGCCCAGGTATTATATTAGCTTATATTATTCAGTAATAAGTATGTGAAAGGCCAAATAAAAAGATTGATTGATTGATGATTCTACCGTGAGTTTTCCTAATAGTACATTTTACCTTGAATATCCTACCGGAGTCAAAGCACTAAATCTGAATTTTACTTTGATAATAGAATGTTTCTCTTGTAATTCAGAAAAAGAGGACCGCGATCGACAATTTGTTCTCGTTTTCAGACAACAGTCTCTCACACAAGTCACGCAATCTAACGCGACACATCTTATCGCGCGTGTCGTCTCGACCTCTAAGTTTTTTGGCTCTTTTCTTAACCTTTTGTGTTAGGCTTCTACCTTGATATTTAAAGAAGTGTTATATTTTACCCTTTTTCAATAAAAACAAATGTTACTTTCTTTTATGTAAGGTTTTCTTTATCTGTTTTGCAAAATTTGAGCTCACTAGGGTCATAGGTCGAGGACCGAACATTGTGACACGTACTGTCTTTTGACATTGGTTTTCTTTTATCCGAGACTTAACACTGGTCAGGCACTTCCCCCATCATTTATCATATATCTGAAAACAATGGAGAGAGTGCAGAGGACAAATGAGCTTTAATATCAACGAGTGAAGATGGCGTACCACGAACGTTTATCTTGTAGGTACTTATGTTTGGTTCGCCCTACGAACAACTTCATCTCTACAAGCGAAATACTGAGAATCATGTACCATAAAAAAAATTGTTTTAAGGTACACTTCATATACCAGAGAGAGAACAAAGTACTTCCATGGATCTATTTCTTCATTTTTTTCTTTTTCATTTTACTGCAAGTAAGCTGCCTTTTTTATTGAGGGGTGAAAAATTTTAGCGGAGCTCCGCGCGAAGCGCGCCAGCGGAGCACCGTGGGTAAATAAATCTACCCATCCCAGAAAATTTGGTAATCACGTGACCGACCCATCGAGCGACCGACAGTCGGTCCGCATCACAGGCATACCAATGTTTACTCTCACACTTTCTAGCTACTTTGGGAGCCCAGGAGAGAGCTGATTGCACATCAATGTTGTGGTCAATTGACAGCTGTCAAGACAGGGTATCCGCTGACCAGTATCACCTGACCGTATCGCGGGCTCAGGTGTCGACCCATCAAGGTCGAGTATTTTTTGAAGTTATCCGCTGACAATTTACTCGTTTTCAAATGATGGCAGGCTCAGTTTTTTAATTTATATCAAATATGTTGTGTTTATGTCACTATCGCCCAGAACTATTCCGGTTTTGATTTCAAACTGACCTCAGACGCAAAAATTCAGCCAGTTTTTTTGAAATACAGGCGGGGAAGACCTTTTCTTACCACGGTCACGTGTTGGTCACGCTCCACGTCCAATTTTATGCTCTGATTGGTTAAGATTTGACAGGTGAGTTCATGCGTAAAATTTATGCAGCATATCTTGAGAGTTGTTTACTTTGACCAGTGAAGCTGACAGAGTTTTGAGTCAACTTGTGATGTTTTTGACTGTCTTTTTCCACTGAATGTACCGAGGAAATACAGCTGCTACCAAGAGTCTTCTCTTACTCATGGCTGGTTTGTTTATTGGGTTTTTGGTTGAGAAATGCGTCGCTTGTCAAAGCCTATTATCCGATTTCGGATGGCATCGTTTTTGTTTTTCACCTTGCTGGATGCGTACGAGAATTATAAAGGCTCAAGCGATCCTTGCCTTACTTGATAGCTTTCAGGGGCTGCATCTCGAAATATGATAAGCCTCAGTAATTATTGTATTTATATCTAATTTCATGAAGTCGGGCGCAGTTTATGAAGCTAGTTTATGCACGTTTGTATTAAGATTTGACTGCGACACTGATCTGACCTAGTATGAGGTTTCATATAAGTTTACAGAACTTTAAAAGCCTTTGGTCGATATGAATTCACCGTAAATAGAAAGAAAAAACTTTCCGAGGAGTATTTAGTGTTAATTGGCTGTAGAAAGAAAGCTTTGAGCGATTTTCTTGTCGAGAGTTCATCTTTGAAAACAGCAAACACCGGGAAACCGGCGGCTTAAAACATTATAAACTTAATCTTTAAGCTTATAAAAGACTTGAGGATTCTTAGAGACACCTAAATACTCATTTGTTTTCGTGAATGAAAATTGTTGTTTCTGTAAATTTTCTACCGAATTATATTTCTTTATTGATTGTTGGTAGTCTCAAAAGTGCAATTTTATCGCTTTTGCGTTTGTTAAACGTCGCTTCCAGGAGTACTCAAAATGCCGAGCGTGTCAAACGCTTTTGAAGATTACACATCGTTATAAAACCATTATTAAGAGTAGAACTCAATAAATTCTCTATCACACTGAAGCGTAACTCTTTTAAAATTTCTGCGCAAATTTGGCGCTTGTCAAAAGTTAGAACCGGCTGGCCTTATAGGTGATTTTGGAAATTTTTTGAACTGTTTCACTAAAGGTCCACGCGTGCTTCAATGGTCCTGAATACTGAATGAATGCAATTTGTCTTGAAAAATTGTGAAATACTGCATTTTGTAGAGGTCTGTATGATAAAAACAGCGCCTCACAGTACTCTTTCTCCTCAGATGTGGTGTATAAGAAAAAAACAAAAGGTTGGTTTGCACGCACCCAGATTTATTGGCAAGAATTTGTAAAGTAAACTTGTCGAATGCAAAAAAATTCGGCCTGCTTTGTTTTCCACGCCTTATCTACTGTGATCAAAAGCCATTATTGCTCTTAAATGTGAACGAAGACTATTTTTTGGGTGTACATATAAGGCTATATCAACTCGATGCTAGATTTGTTTCACTGCAAAATCACTTAGCTTTTCCCACAAAAGTCACATAAATGTGCCCTTAAGTTAACTAATTTGTGGAATACAAGTTTATTGTTTGATTTAAGTTATAAATTTGTCAATGGGAGCTTCGCTTTTAGCCGTGGCTAAATCTATATATTAAGCAGAACATTGTGGACAAAGTGCCTGAAGGACTGCATATACCCGGTAATTTAATCCCTGTCACAAAAAAACAGTCTTCTGTTTTGTTTTCGAGTGGGCTTGTTTTACTTGCAGAAAAACTCCTATTTTTACGTGTCGTTCAACGCCGAGAAACCGTTGACTGAAAATAAACTGACCACAAAAGTTAAGGGAGTGGTCCGGCATTAATTACTGGGGACGGAGGACTGATAAATTTATGACGAGGGCTTAGATTTGGGGGGCTTTGTAAGACCCTGAAGAGGAAAGACCGTTACCATAGAAATATTGGCAATTAGATTTCAGCCTTGCTTCTTTTCGTTATTCACAGATTTTCAAGCTGATAAAATCCTTTAGTATATACTAAAACAGTGGATGGTGTTTTTCGCGCGCTCTGATTGGCTACTCAACCAGTGAATGTCCTGCACTATTCACTAATTCACCTCCAGTTCCTCGGAGCAAGCGACGCCAAACTCGCGTAACTTGCGAGCAAAATGCCTTCCCGGTTTGCTGCCGTAACAAACAAAGAGATTTCACAATTAATCAAGCAAGCTGTACCCGAAATACACGAAGAAGGTGACGAAGTTCGGTTTGAAAGTTTTAACAGATAAAGCTTTGTCTTTTTGTCGGCAAGAAAAAGGGATGACTGCGGACGTTCGGTCATTGAGCGCCCGCATTGTAATCGTTGACAACAGTAAATGAGTTAACAATCATCATTTTTGTGCTCAATTATCTCACTGTTTTAGTATATAGTAAAACCATTATTCACCCCAGTGTCGGTGGCTAGTGGTTACTATTTACCTCGCCGCTTCGCGGCCTCAGTACAAAATCACCACTAGCCACCTCCACTTCGGTGAATAATTGTTATCTATTAAGATCCCGATTTTTCGAACAATCTGGATAACAGAAAATTGCTTCAAAACATTTTCGGAAGGATCAAAAATTCAGCAATAAACTGATTGCATAAAAAGATAAAGGATGAGATGAAGTACCTTATGCTTATTTTGAAATCTATGCTGGAATTATAAAGCATTTGATTAAGCAGCAGGAAGTGACGTTCAGGAATAAAACAAAACGAACGAGTGAAGCCCGTTTGCTGTCTTATTCACGTATTTTTCTTTCCCTGCCAGGTGATAAGCTTAACGGGAAAAACGGAACTTTGTGTTCATCAGTTCTCAACAGTACAGACAGAATTACATTATTTGCAAAAAATTTCGAACGATTTTAATTTCGGGCAAAAAAAGTGTCCGAAAATAAAACCGTGAGAAATTTTTACGCTTCCGAAATTTTAAGCGTCCGAAATTTTTAGAGTACAGTACAAAACTTTTAAGTACTTTCTTGGGCTACGCTATCACATGTATTCAAGGCCAATATACATGATATAAAACTGCGAAACTGTGACATACATAGCTAGAACTCGGATTAGGCTTTAGTCGTTCTTTATATCACTGGAAAGGAAAATTTTTGTTGCCTTTACAAAAAAAAACAATGTACAAATAAATTTCTTTTTGCATGCATAGAAAGTTAGATATTTTGAGCCAAGCCCAGTGGCATTGCCAGTGCTACTCCTCTTCGGCTTCATCATCAATCATGAACACAATTGACAGATCACTAGCAAGTGATTCTTCTTCATCTGTAGCTGATTCGTAAAGAAGCTCGTAGTTCTTTTCAATAAGTTCTTTCAGACGGTGAAGAAGAGACCGCTTGCTGTCGTCAATTTTAAACGTGCCTCGGAGGACTATCTCAAGTCCTCCCTTTGCGATTGGAGAAGGCCTATATTTTTCATCCTCAACTACTGCATCGATGCTACGCACGTGATGTAGAAAAAAGTACACAAAACGTGATATTTCTTGTGGCACATTGCCAACAACATCGACTACAAGATTTTCTTTGCTCTTCATCAACCAGGCGACAGCGTACTGATCAACAAGAAGTGCCTCTGCATCTCGTTCTTTCTGGCCATACAATCTTTGACGTTTCTTTGGAATTGTCCAGACAGTTTTACCATAAACATGCCAACCTCGACTAGCAATTGGGTGCTTGAAGAAAATTTCCATCTGTGTTTAAAGTTGATAATTCTAAGTTCCCGAAATTGGCAAGTTTTACCATCGTTTACGCCTGGCTGTTATTGTTATTTCCCGCTTTATTGCGGCACGCTCTACAGACTTTCCGCTCTTTTTTACGTCTTTGCGCCATTCAAGACTTTGTCGGTAGCTTTGAGCGAAACATTCCTTTATTTCGCTTTGTTCGAGAGTTTTCTTTCATCAGTTTCATTTGCAGCGACGTCTATTTTAAATTATTTTGAGAAGGTACCGAAAAACCCTCTACAAGCAATGTCTTCGGCACCGAAAGAAGCTGGAAGAGAGTCGGAAGACATGTAGGTGTTGTAAACCTCACTAAAAGAGAAACCGAAGAGGTAACAAATGAAGTCACTACTACATCAAGAAGACAGCCGAAGAAAGAGCAGAAATAGGTCAGCATGCTGTAAGGCACGGAGTCAATCAGACAGTGCGTCTGTTGAAAGGAAAATATCCTCGACTTACTAAGCAAACGGCCTGTGATTTCAAGAAAGCTTTAATTCAAGCAAAACAAACAGCAGTTGGGCCTGTGAATGAAATTACCTTCAGAAAGCGTGGGCGACCTGCATTACTGCCCGACGACCTTATGAAAAAGACCATTGAAATGATACAGGCCCTGCGACTAAACGGTGCACCGGTAACAGCTGTCGTGATAAATGCTATTGACAAAGGAATAGTTATAGCAAATGACCGAGCCCTGTTGGTCGAGCATGGCGGCTATTTGAGCCTTAGTTTGACTGGGGAAGAAATGTCCTCTGCCGAATGGAAAGAGAAGGCAAGAAGATGGCAGTCAGAATTGCTACGACTGAGAACATACCCGTGCCTCCTGGACTTTTGAAGGAAGCGAAACTGTCATTTCAGCGAAAGATCAAAACACTGCAAGCCATGCACGGTGTGTCATGAGCAAGAGATCGAGGACACACTTCCAGTTAGTACAAGAGAGAAGTTTATTCTCAAAGAACTCAACACGTATTGGTACAAATCACATGATCATGTTGCAAAGTCAACCAATCATAACACCGTGTGCCACAAGATCTGAATCTCAATTTAGACCAAACCCCATTGTCCTATGTCTGTTCCGCTAGTCATACTCTGCGTGAAAAAGGGGCAAAAAGTGTGCCCCTTTTAGGAAAGGGCAAAAAGAAGCAGATTACAGGAATGTTCACGGTTACAATGTCAGGTCTTTTTCTCGCGATGCAGCTAATTCATGAGGGTAAGACCCCGCAATGCCTTCCACTAGGAATCTCGTTTCCGGATAACTTTAACTTGACTTTCACTCCAAACCATTGGAGCATTGAAGACAAAGTTATCGAGCACTTGGAGAAGGTTTTTTTTCCGTTTATAGTGGAGAAACGCAAAGAACTTTCCCTTCCTGATGAGCGGAAGGCTATCCTAGTATTTGACGTGATCAAAGGACAGAAGACGGAGCGTGTTCAGCACCTTATTGCTGATAACAACTGCGTTTGCGTTTTCGTTCCTGCCAATATGACCAACTATTTCCAGCCGCTCGACTTGACAGTAAACGGTCCTGCCAAGCAATTTTTGAAAGGAAAGTTTCAGGAGTGGTATGCAAGAGAAATCGCAAAGCAAGTGGACAAAGGTATTGATGTATACTCCATTCATGTCAACACAATGTTATCTGTAGTGAAGCCGATTCATGCCCACTGGCTTGTTGGCTTGTGCGACCACCTCCAAAACAAACCCGAAGTGATAAGGAAGGAATTTGAGATGGCAGGAATAGTGGAAGTTGTCACTAAGGAACAAGAACCAGAGGATCCTTTTGAAGATCTTGTCCCAGATCATTGAGCCACTTTAAGCTCCAAAGCCCTTAGTTTCCTTTTTGAAGCGAACTCTAGTTGAAACACTGCTTGAGATTAACACTTGATAGAATTAAGAAATAGTAAACGTGCAGCGTGCAACCATGGAGTTATGGATGCAGGCGGGAGGTTGCTAAGCACGAAAGAAGCGTAAGAGTCGCACGAGGCGATAGCCGAGCGCGACTCTAGCTTCTTGAGTGCTTAGCAAACCTCCTAAGTGCATCCATAACTCCATGGTTGCACAGCTGCAACGTTTACCATTTCTTTTATAACATAATCAAAAGAGAAAAACATTATTTTCCATTTGCCTTCGGTTGAGTCATCGGTCCGAGTTCATGTATGCTGCGTTCATGTAAGTTGCAACTGAAATTCCCCGACACACAGCCGGCGCTGAAGCTGTTGTTTTTCGACCGTTCTCTGAACGACTGTTATGAATGAACACTGAGGAACAAAATAATACACACAGAAGTTATTTTTTTGAAAAATTTATTTGAAAACCCAAATGTTTCTGTACTCTACGGTGTTCGAGGAGTATCACAAATAAAATTTACTATGTCTGATTCTTTTCTTGTCCTCTATGATTTTGGTATCTTGTCTATGATTAAAAGGAAACTGAAATCCTTTTGGTTTTTATTGTGTCATTTTGATTTTAAATTTGTCGTGTTTGATTTCTCAAATGCATTTTTGATTTCCAAAATTTGACACGTTTGATTTCCAAAGTTTGTCGCCGGCGTTTGATTTGCCAAATGACACTTTTGATTTCCAAAATTTATCGGGTTTGATTTCTCAAATAACACTTTTGATTTCCAAAATTTATCGCGTTTGATTTCTCAAATGACACTTTTGATTTCCGAAGGTTTGATTTCTCAAATAACACTTTCGATTTCCAAAATGAGACAGATATGGATGATATTCACGTGACAGTTCTGTGGGTGGTAAGCCTTACTCACGGCAAGGTCAGGGCGACACTCAGTCAATTGTTATATCACGACCGAAGGAGGCAGAGAGAGTGTTTCAGTGAAAATAGGGGATGTGCCCCTGATAAGGTATAGGGTATGGGTTTCGTCCTCTCTGTTTAACAGGGGTATAATTTGGCGCGACTCTGTCCTTAACAGGGTATTCAATTTCGTGCAAGTCGGCCCCCTTTTTTCACTAGGCATAATTTTAACGGGAGGGCTGCGTGTTTTACCTAGTGAAGATCAACACATTAGGCACTTAAAAGGTTATAGCTTTTTATTGCGACTAAATAACCTTTAAATAAAGTTTTAAGTTCGTTTAGATTTCTCCGAAATGCCTTTTTGTCCGTGAATGTGAAAAATCTCCGCTAAGGTTTGTCACGCTGGACCCACAGTAAAACTTCACATATCACATGGCTTCGCCGTGACCGAAATCCTCAAGTGACCGAAATCCTCGCTGGTCGGGTATATTCCGACCAGGTAAAAATATGATTAGACTCTTGTCTTCACAAATATATATCCCTGTTTAGGACAGAGAGGACGAAACCCCCCTTGGGAAACCCAAACCCTATCCGGCGGCACATCCCCATTTTTCACCAAAACACCTTCGCTGCCTCGTTTGCTCGTGTTGTGACCATTGACTGAGTGTCCCCCCGTCCTTGCGTAGGCCTTACCACCCACAGAAACTGTCACGTGGATAAGATCCATATCAGTCTCATTTTGGAAATAAAAAATCAAACGCGACAAATTTTGGAAATCAAAAGTGTCATTTGAGAAATCAAACGAGACAAGTTTCGGAAATCAAAAGTGCCATTTGATAAATCAAAAGCGACAAATTTTGGAAATCAAAAGTGCCATTTGATAAATCAAACGCGACAAATTTCGGAAATCAAAAGTGTCATTTGAGAAATCAAACGACCTCATTTTGAAAATCTAACATGTACTGAAAGAATCAAACGCGGAAAATGCAGTTGAGAAATCAAAGGCGTCAAGTTTTGGAAATCAAATATTAGCTAGAAAATCAAACACTAAAACCAAAAATATTTTTCTCTTTAATCAAAGAAAAAATATCAAAATCAAAGAAAATAAGACAAGAATCAAAATAAGTAAATTTTATGAGTGATACTCCTCGAACACGGTAGTAATCAAATGAAATTCGCTTATTCCAGCGTAATGTGCCCGTTTAAACTATCAACTAAAATTTTTAATCGATGCGATGAAAAAACCTCACAACAAAGCTGTCTCGAATTTGAGCGTGTTTCCTAAAATAATTGCTTGAATTTAGCATCAGCTTGACCAAAAAGTCATATAACACAATGCTAATTGATAAATTTACATTTCAAACAGACTTTCTCTTCTATAAAAAAACACACAAAATGTACCTTTAATCTTCGCTCGCTCGATTTTCCTTCAGCCGATTCTAGCCGCGAGGAGAACAGTGATTAATTCATTCAGGGCAAATTTTTCGCTTGGTCTTTTGTCTTTTTTCCTTCAAAACGACAGCTTAGTATTTTCTTCAACTTCCACTTTTCATCTATGTATTTCATCGGTGTATTTTACCGTCAGGAGAGGATATTTGTTGAATTTACCTAAATTTTACCGCGCTAGCTCAGTTTCTTGGCGTGCACCCACGGGCAAATGGTAGTGGCTAACTGACCAATCAAAGTAAACGTCCGAAATTTTAACGTTCGAAAATTTTGGCAAGTGTGTATGTAAAATCTATTTTAGGTTTAGTTGCAGGTGTTTTAATCTAAATACTGTCCAAGCGATATGTAGCTCACTTATCAGTAAAGTTCGCGAAGCAATTCTAACAACACCCTTTTTTCAAGGTTAGTAACCTGGTATTCATAATTTCATTAAGTTAAGATGTCTACCCCGCGTAAATAAAGCGCATAGATAAAATATCTAAGACCGTCTGTAACGTTAAGAGAAGAAAAATAGAGTTTACGTCGTCCTTATTCGCAACTTGCCTATCTCTGTGAATCTTGTTTGCCCCACAAATTTTGCAACTAAGCAAGGTCTTCAATTTCGTATGGGACCACTAATAGAGAAATGAACAACAAAGCTTATGCAAAATTTGGGGGGCAAACAAGGTATAAATGTGCCGATGGCGAATACTTATGCCAAGAAACAACTCTCAGTAAAATATTTTGTATTTGGTTTTATACATTCAGTTATTTTACAACAGCAACATTTGATGGCCGTA